TCTCGCTCGCTCTCACACACACACACACGCAAAGGCGCACATATTCTGCAGATTCATTTCGTAATTCATTGATGTCCAAAATGATGAGATTAGATCGCAAACCTCCACTCGCTAGGTCTCCTATACGGCTTCGTTCTCGCCGCGCTCCTCATTCCAGTGCAAACATCCTCCAAACCCCACCAGGTCTCTGATATAATTAACTCTTTCAAATTTTATGTCATCGTCATATGTTGCAAGTTTATTAATTTCATGTACTCGATTCTGATTTTTCTTGAATATATTCATCGTTACAGGTCGTGGTTCTTTGATGAAACCCCAATTGCCTAAACGCGATCAGGACATTGAAGAAATGGAGCTTCGTCCCGAATACCACACAATTTCTTGCGAGCTGAGGGCTTTGGCAAAGATGGTGCAAGATGAATTTGGAAACGATGATATGGGTAATTTTAGTTTTGAACTTGCCTCTAATTTCAATGCTCAAAGGAGTCCACTGTTTGAAAGGGGTAGGTTTTATGATGAATACTCTGCAAGGAGGAATGAGAGGCTGAAGAGAAAGAAGGGTCAAGCAGGGGATGAGAAAAAACCAGCGTACGATCTTGGTGTTAGGGTCGAATCTGCAAAACGAAGGGAGTCTAAGAAATTCGAGAGCGTGAGAAGGACAGTCTCTTCTACGCCGATGGCGATGACGGAGCGGAGAGAGACTCCGAGGTATATGCTGAGAAGCAGTTTTAAGAAGGAAAACAAGAAGCCTTCCCCGTCTCTGAATTTTGAAAGATCTGTCGGTGGCGGAGAGAGGATTGGTACGGTTAGGAAAGTTCGGAAAAACTGAATTTCTTAAGTGGGTGGTTTGGAATTTTCTTTCGGGGAATACGCTTGGCTTTTGGATAGTTTATTTTTTTGCTGGTAGAAGGTTTGGATAGTTTGAATGATCAGGGAACTCAGTAATTTTTAGATTAGAAGAACAGATTGAAGCTACGAGGCTCATAGGTCTGTTCGTTTGATGTTTTTTAAGAAAAACAAAAATTGATGATTGATGTTACGTGATTGTGTTCTGAATCTATGTGTTTTAAGTTTTCTTGAGAAAATTTTTATTATAATTATTTGTTGTCGTGTTTTCAAGGCATTGACTGAGGACTGTGATAAAATATTCCCGTAACCAAAGAAGAGAGTGGGTGGGGGCATTGGAGCATTGCAGGGTAAATCTAATTTTGGATCTAATCTGCTTTAACTTGATTGATTATAATTATTGTATTGAATTGATAACAATAGAATTCATTATTAGTTCAACAATAAAAAGTGATTAGATCCAAAATTAAGTTAAAGTAGCATTACTTTGTTTACGGCTCATTACAAATAATGGATGTAATTTATTTATTATAATATTATAAAATCATGTGTTATTTTTTAAAATTAAACTGAAATAATTTGGTTATTCATTGAAACTTAGGATGAATTGAGCTATATAACAATTGGATTATTAGACTAACTTTTGGTTAATAGTTGACGGCATGATGAAATTGACTTGAAATAGGATAATTCTTTGACATATTGATCACAATTTTTTTTATGCGTAATTAAATTAATTTTCTAAATTTTTTTGAAAATATATAATACTCTAATCTGCCATGTGAAAATTGATTTTGATATGTTGTTATACAACTAAAAAATTAAGATTAATGAAAAATTAAATGGCCTAATTGAACAAAACTTTTTATTTACATCACTATTTAACATCTCTTAGCCTAAAAACCTAGTTCAATCTGTGTAAAATCACTTATTAATTCACTTGGCAAAATATTAACGGCTCAAATTTTAGTCATCCGTTGAGGGTAATAGCCATATGTACCATTCTCCATTTAAAAAACTTTTAAAGAGTAGTCCAATGAAGGCAGTGATTAAATTAATATTTTGAATTTAAAATTTAATAATTTTTTTTGTCAGGTCACGACAGATAATAAAATTTCTTAGTTTTGATGATTTTTTTTTGAATAGATTTAAAAAGAAATTAGTTACTTTGTTTTTAAATTGATTCAGCCATATCTGACTTCAATTAAAAAAAAAAAAATCACTAATGGACGTAATAAAATTGATAAAATTTTAAATTAAAAGAATATGGTAGTATTTTGCACTGAGCACACCGACTATGTTACAACAGAACCCCAAATCTTTACCTTACTAGACGGAAATACCCCTCCTTACATTGCGTTCCTCGGCTATAAGTGGACTTCAGCCCGTTGCCGTTATATTACGGAAATCCAGTGAGTAAAGCTTTATTAGGGTTTTGCAAGGTGAGAACGAGAGAGTCGAAAGGGCATCGTCATGAGTCGGAGCTTGGGAATACCGGTGAAGCTTCTGCACGAGGCAGCGGGACACGTAGTGACAGTAGAACTGAAGAGTGGAGAGCTCTACAGAGGAAGCATGGTCGAATGCGAAGACAACTGGAATTGCCAACTCGAAAGCATTACTTACACTGCTAAGGTAAATTGCTCAATTCTAGTTGCACTCTTAATGTTTCATTATTAAATTGGTTTATGGTTATTCGGGGGGTTTTTTCATATATTTATTGGTCCTTCCACGCAATGTGTTGTTAAATCCTTTACAGTTGTTCTGTGGTTTGGTCTACTAGAATTTGTAATATATTTAGGGTTTTTTTTTGTGTTATTTATATTTTGGGGTTTTTGATTATCCTATATTCAGTGCTTAATACAGAAAGCGTTCTGTACTTATTTGATACGAACAATCATCTCCCTCTTGAAAGCTAGACTTTACTGTTAATAAATAGGGCCTGAATTTAAGCATAGGATAAGTGGAAGTTTGATTTCAAAGTGAAACTTTCATTGACAGGTTTTGGCCTTAAATGTCATAATATGACTCCTCTTCTGCCGATGAGAAAATGGTGAACTATGAAAAATTAGTTTGAATCACCAACTCTTTTAATAATTCGAGACCCAAATGACCAAATTCTTAAGTTTTGTTTGTAATTAAACTTACATAATGACAGAGAAGTTGTACTTGTTCCATTGTTCCTTAAATACTAAAAACAGATTATATTGAAATTAAGCATCAGAGTGGGCGAGAGAGTAAATGGACTTGACTTTGATGACAGTGCTGTTGTCGTTAGACCACTGCTCCTAGGGCAAACATTTGCTGGTCAAAAAGATAGCTGATACAAATCAGTGAAATAAAGCAAAAAAAAAACCTAGGGAATTTCTTATGCGATGATATTTGTATACTCTACTCTCTCTCTCTCTCTCACACACACACACACACACAAACACAATTCCTTCTTGCAAATCTTGATGAGATATATGTGAAAATGGAAATGCATATTTTGCTGAGTTAATGCTGTGTTCATTGGTTCTATAGTAAAAAAAGCTTGTTTTCATTTGTCTGATTGACTTCCATCAGTCATAAATGATGGTTGCTTCCTTCGCAGGATGGGAAAGTCTCACAACTAGAGCATGTTTTTATCCGAGGCAGCAAAGTCAGGTATCTAATCATTTTTTATTTCAGATTGTTTGTTTGCATATAACTGCATTTTTTAAGCTAATGTGAAATCCCATCAGGTTTATGGTGATTCCAGACATGCTTAAGAATGCTCCAATGTTCAAGCGTCTAGAAGCTAGAATCAAGGTTCCTTTCAAGAGCCTGTCTATATTTTCCTGAATTTGTTACCTTCTTTTTATGTTTTTTTTGATCAAATTTGATTTACTTTCTTGAAGGGTAAGGGCTCAGGACTTGGAGTTGGCCGTGGTCGTGCTGTTGCGATGAGGGCAAGAGTAAGTTTATATGTTCTATATACAAGTTATTATTAAAGCATGGGGTTCGATACAAAATCATAATTTGATGGACAATACAACACAAATCCTGGGGAAAATAGATAGTGTTTTGGAAATGCTGGGTTAAATGGACATGTCTGAGTGATTTTGATCCCTAACATTGTTGTATAATATGCATGAATTCTTCACCTTCCCTCATGGAGTGAAGTGTACCTGATTTTTGAATTTTGTTTCCTGTATAGGCTCAGGCTGCTGGTCGTGGAGCTGCTCCTGGTAGGGGTGTTGTGCCACCTGCACGGAGGTAGCTCATTCTTCAAACAGGGTCTTATCCTTACCCCTCTGAGGTTGATATATTCCGCTCATCTGCTTTGTAATCTAAAAATTGGTGTAGAATGGTAGCTTTTCTCCAAAAATTTTGCTTTACCTGGAGTGTAACCTCTTAATATCAGAGCTCGCCTATTGGTTGTTGTTGCACGTGGTACTATGATGAGCCATTTTAGATCAATTTGTGGTTGTGTTTTTAATTTGTAATTCTTGTAGAACGAGCAAACCAGTTAATGTCTCTTCGCTCAACTGGTGATGGGAGATGTCTTGGCAGGAAATATTTGATTTTGAGCTGGATGTTTTGGGTGGCTCTAGAGAATAAGCATGGAAATACATTCTTTCCTGATGGCATGCTAAGCGCACACCTAGGAAGTAAGATTAGAAAGTGGCAATGATGCACTTTGGATTTTGAGAGGCAGAATGCAATTAGGTTCAAATAGGCATGTGTAACCTGGGGAATGTTAGTGATTTTAAAGAAAGTTGAGTTTTTCTAACTTGTAGTTCATTTGTAAAGCATTGTATGCCCACTGGATTTACTGCCCGGTTTTTGCGGCAGCTGATCCAAATTGGGAGGACACCCGTGCTTTTACTTTTGGCACTCTTGCCTAGAGCAAATATGGTCATATCATCTAAAGCAGCCTCACTTCATTTGAAACTGTAGTTTGAAAACGCTATACTTCGTACTTGGTATGGCTACCCTCGTTAGTCAAGAAACTGCTAGATCAGCTTGTGCAGGCAGTAGGGCTTTGTGACTAATATTTCTTTGTTGAATTTAGACTGTGCATGTTCCTTCGTGATTCTATCTGCCTGTGTATTATGCGATTCAGAACTGTCCTTGAATCAACTTTGGCCTCGTACGTGTTCTAACAAGCTGGCTGATCTTGGGTATGTTTAATTAGACCTGTTGGAAAAAATAATTTTGACAAAGTGTATTTAAGCAACTTAGGGCTTGCATGAAAGTGGGATTTACACTTTGAAATTGGTGGGATCAAATTTAAATACGTTCTCTTATGTGGAGATTAACGCGATATATTTATTTGTTCAAAACCATTAAGATTTAAATAAAAAATTATGTCTTACACTGACTCATTTGAAATGATGAAATAAGCTAATATTGTTGTAGTGGAATAAAGTTTGTCTCACATTAAAAAAAGACTGACACTTTTTTTAGTTAAATATACTCCAACTTTATTTCATGGGTTGGGTCCTAAGAGGTAACACACTTTTGTGAGTTGGGCGAGTGTTTAGTGTACCTTGGTTATCATATACATGCCTCAACTTGACTTGGCTTGACCCAGTTTGGACGAAGTTTATTTGGAGCGATGTGGGTATGGGTCAACCCAATTAGATTTGAACGTGGATTGTAATTAAAATTCTAATCGAAATTTTAAAATCTTCTATCGGTTATTTTGAATTTGGTGCTAAAACTAGGTTTGGTTCATTCCAGAGAGCCTGTTTACTCTAGAAGTGCTTTTTGTCTATTCAAATTAAAATAATGTCTATTTAATTCGAACAGTGATATCTCATGTCTCTTCATGCGATTTAAACAGCCACCAAGAGTCTATGAATAGACTAATCATTGCCATTTTCAATCAATCTCATTTTGAATTCATGTTTCAGAATTGTTTCTTTACATATTGTTGCGTTAGCAACACAAGTTTTATTTGTCAATCTTTTAAGATTGAAGTGTTATTTCTTCAAAAATGAAATTCGTTCTATCTTGTGAGGTAATTACTCATCAACCTTGAACACTAAGAGGGAGCAAATCTGTCTTAAAGAGATTATAGTTACACAAGGCTCGGATTGTCTATTTTGGATTTTTAATTTGATTGTTCGTGTAGATCTGTGTTACTATGAGTGCATTGTTTTTACTTGTTATGCATTTCTGTTTAGATTATTCTGTATGTAATAATATACAAAATGTTTTAGGTTTTTTTTTCGCTGATTANTGCATTTCTGTTTAGATTATTCTGTATGTAATAATATACAAAATGTTTTAGGTTTTTTTTTCGCTGATTAAAAAAAAATATTAATTTCTAGTTTCTATAAACTGATTGCATATAACAGTACTAGTTATTTTCGTGCCTGGAGGCATAAAGTAATAAAAAAAATGGTTAAAAATAAATATATTTGTATTCACATCTAAACTTAAATTACAAAGATAGAGGAGAGAAAAATACAATTTAAACACCGGTTGTAGTAAAAGACGAGCAGTGGTAATNTATTTGTATTCACATCTAAACTTAAATTACAAAGATAGAGGAGAGAAAAATACAATTTAAACACCGGTTGTAGTAAAAGACGAGCAGTGGTAATAATAATGAGCAGCAGTGGTGGTGGTGGTGAGAAACGGTAATGGTTGTGATGGATGACGACAATTAATTGTTGTGGTGGCAGCCATGGGTGGCAATGATGATGGTGATGATGGGACAGTGGGGTTGTTGATGGTAAGAGTGATAGTGAGACAGCGACGATAATGGTAAAATGGTGGTAGAGATGGTGATGATAGTGGGAAAAGGGAGATAATGGAGATGGTAGTGGTAGTGGGGTGACGATAATGGTGGGGGTGGGGCGATGGGGGTGGTGGTAGTAGTGATGGTAGTGTTAAAACAGTGAGTGTAATGATGGTGGGGGGTGGTGACAGTGGTGGTGATTGTTGTGGCAAAGGTGATGGTGGTGTAGTGGCAAGGGGGACGGTGGTAATGGTGGTGCTAGTGGTGGGGCGGTGAGAATGGTGGNTGGTGACAGTGGTGGTGATTGTTGTGGCAAAGGTGATGGTGGTGTAGTGGCAAGGGGGACGGTGGTAATGGTGGTGCTAGTGGTGGGGCGGTGAGAATGGTGGTGGGGGTAGTTGTGCTGGTGGGGTGAAGGTGTTGGTGGTGTAGTTGGTGGTAGTGGGACAGTTCTAAACACTATTTTTTTTTAAAAAGTATTTGTGAGAAATTATAAGTCTTATAAACACTTTTAAAAGATTATCTCAAACACACCCTTAGAGGCTTATTTTTTTCATTAAATTTGGGGTGTTAATATTAACCGTTTGATTAATTTTAAAATAAAATTTAAAGAGATATTAATCGCGAAAAACAAAAGTTATTTTTTTTTATCTTTTAAAATTTGAATTGTATTATATTTTATCATATAAATATGAATATAAAATAAATTTTATTTTTATATTTTATACAATTTTATGTAATCTACCTGTATACACACATTCTACAACGACACCTTCATAAAATTGTTCGCAAATTTGGAGGCTACGAGAATTGAGTACNTTTATACAATTTTATGTAATCTACCTGTATACACACATTCTACAACGACACCTTCATAAAATTGTTCGCAAATTTGGAGGCTACGAGAATTGAGTACATACTCGTATGAGGTGGTCTTTCATCGACACCACTCTCGAGTGCCTCAAACGGCATCCATTTCTTGTGGTTTGCACCAAGTCTAAAAGGTAGTACGATTTGCTAAGCTATAATCCCAAAACTCAAATGAGAACAGGCCACCTGGTGACATGTCAGAAAACTCCTTGTCTCTCTAAATGCATTGACACTTGATTGTCTTTTACATTGAATTAAAATAAATACTAATGATTTAGAGTTTAAATGACGTAGTAATTAACTTAAACTTCTTTTTTATTATGTGTTAAGACATTCCCGTGCAGAATTCCAAGGGTTTTTCTCATTGCCATCACATTAATGGTCCTTTGATTTGAATTGAGATAAATGACGACCAGCGGAACACTTTGTTATGCATGCATACTCCTGGATGAGATTCCTATTAGTGTAACATTACTGAGCAAAAAAACAGTAATTTAAGAGCTAAACCTGAACATTGTTGAGATCTTTCAACGATGTGTTTTTACATTGGGGCGTTGCGGCGAGATGTCTGCTTGATACCATTAGCATCAAGGCAAACATTAGATTAAGGTGAGAGAAGGGCTCAAGTCAAGTCCCTTTATATTCTTTATTATCACACTGCAAAACTGTACATAATAGGGCTGCAAGTGATTATACAAGTCTCTGAAAAACTAATAACCCAGCAGACACTAGTGGAAATAGCCATAGAGTTCNCCCTTTATATTCTTTATTATCACACTGCAAAACTGTACATAATAGGGCTGCAAGTGATTATACAAAGTCTCTGAAAAACTAATAACCCAGCAGACACTAGTGGAAATAGCCATAGAGTTCCAAGAAGCAAATGCAGAAGCTCCAAGCGTTAGCATCATCTGTGGTGGGCGCCATCAAGATAACTCGAAAAAACCTGAAGGGAAGTAGAGCATTGGGACCAACAACAGGCCATGATGCAAACTGACCAGGCTTGTACATTGTTTGGTCATCCTCGTGTACTCTCAAATTTGTCCAAGTTTTCCCATCCAAAGAGCCCTGAAATGTAGTTCATAAATTTCATTTGCAGTTTCACCCTCAATGCCTGTTTTCCTGCCATCAATACGCGTGGACACACACACACAGTCTTTTTACCTCAAAATTCCACGATCTCATGAAAGCCCTCGATCCATCCTGTCTCAAAGAGTAATAGTTGCACATAAGCTGCATCAACCAGCATATGCATCCCATCAGAAAATCAGGGTTAAATGTGTGCAATTTCCCACTACTTATGGAACTAGAAGTGATGCAGAAACAGCCCAAGCATAATTGGCAGTCGGTCCCTACAGCTGTTGTCTTTGGTATGACCACCAACCATCAAGCCAGTTCTTAAGCCAAGACCAAAAAAATCATAGATCTTTCAGACAAGCACACATATATAGATTGGCAGTTCAAAATTGCTGAATTCAAGCATAATTGGCTGGAGGCTTTGACAAAGATGTATGCAAACAAGACAATGATAGCAATTATTCCAGACCAAGGATCAACAATACTGAAAATAAGCTCAAACATAAGCCTTGAACCGAAACTTGGGTTGCCTGTGGATCAAGCTGCCTATTTAAACTTCATGTCTATGATTGAATTGATCCTCAACTAGAACAAGAAGACTGGCTTGTTGCCAGTAATGCAAAAATACAAACAAAGGTGGAAAACAAAGCAATGAACTTCCACGAGGCATATTCAAATATTATCTCAACTTAAAAATCAGCTATTGATGGTAGTTGCCCTGGACAATTTTTCACACAAGCATGTAAACATGAGTAAGTATTCAAAAATTGGTCATAACAGATATAATAGCATAAAAGTACAGCATCAGACCTGGTGATCTTGACCAATGTCAATCATCCACCATGCATTTTTCTTTCCGTCCTCAACCCGAGGCCCAGCAAAGGATGTTCCCTAGTGCGAAATAATCATGGTTTTTTATACGACCTCAGCAAGAAAGAGATCTGAATAATAACTTGGTTCATCATGGGTCATACCTGGTAAGTCCTTGAAACCAAAACTTTAGGGTCAGTGTATCTTGAAATGCCACTGCTGGCAGTAATTGTAATTCTCTGAAACAAGTAATTTGCGATGTAACTACTCAAATTATAGAGCCACTATATGCACATCTAGCGTGAAGATAGTAATTAAGTGTTTACCTTGGACAGAACAGGATTAACCCACTGGTGCTGCCCATAAGATGTGCCCGCAAGGTACATAACTCCATTGCTATCCCCGTCACATATGTACTGAAGCTCCTTGAAACTAGATTGCCTATGCTGGAATCTTACACTATAAAAAGACTACTTCAGCCAGGTCTAGTTTATAAACATGCTGTGAGAAATCTAAATTTTATCCCTTCTCATTAAAAACAGCGCTTCACATTTTTTTCCTATAGTAAAAACCATTCAGGTGTAACTTGGACAACAAGNAGAAAGACTACTTCAGCCAGGTCTAGTTTATAAACATGCTGTGAGAAATCTAAATTTTATCCCTTCTCATTAAAAACACCGCTTCACATTTTTTTCCTATAGTAAAAACCATTCAGGTGTAACTTGGACAACAAGAATAACTCGACCTAAATTGTTCAAAACATATAAAGAAAAGAGGGCCATCCAGCGTAAAGAACCCACTGCTGCTAAGTCTAGGGAGGATAAGATTTATGCAACATTTCCCCCGTGTTAGAGAAGTTGCTTCCATGAATCGAACAAGTAACATCCAGTTCACAATAGAGCAAACTTTTTTTCTGGAAGCAACAATAAAGCAAACATACTGCTAAACCTATAGCCGACCTCTTAAAAACATATAAAGAAATGACCAAATGATTTTTTTGGAAATTATATACAAATAACACAACATAATATGAGAATAAGTAATAAACTATATACAGTATATCAATACGTGTTAACTTGGTAAAACGAGAGGTTGGATGCAAGAAAAGGGTCCTTTCAGATGTGGTATCCTATCCAAAATCACTTCGATACTGAACACAGTCCAAAAGACCCACAGGCCAAGTAGGTTTTTTATTAGGAAACACACATTGAAGATGGATATTACTTAATTACTTAGAGTAGCTCATCATATATTCAGCATATACAAAGAATACAAAGAGGTAACCAAATAATTCCAAAAACTTAAGCAAATCCTATCGACCTGCAGCAATTTTGTATCGCATTCAATGATGCAATGATGCAGTGATTAGTGGTAATATCGATGGTCCCATCTGCTACCTATTTCCTGTTGTTAATTTTTTTGGTGTTTTTTTTTGGGAGAGAGAGAGAGAGAGAGAGGGAGAGAGAGAGATGGGTAAAAAATGAATTTTCTCAGAATGGAGGGCTTTTATCCAATACTGAAAAAGGACGTATTTTGATCCACAGCTTATGAAGAAACAAAATTTCCATTTCAGTCTCATTCTTTGGTTCCTGAGAAGCAAAGAAAACAGATATATCTTTGCCATCCACTGCACATTAAGTGCAGGTAAAAAAGTTCATACTCTTATGCCTGCAAATAAAAGAACCAGTATTCTATACAAAAATTAAAGACCACAGAATGTCAAGAAGGATATGAGAAACTTTTTCTTTGAACTTCAACATTTGATACTTACTCTAGGGCCTTTTCTGGACTAGCCAATCCGATTTCTAGAAAAATGATGGCCTCTCTCACCTATTAGATAATCATACGAAAAAAGCTAATGAACAAAATCAAGACTATATTATCTATATAAAACTAGAGCCCAAAAATGTCTTTGTATTGACAGGGTCTTAACTCACCAGAAAATCAAAAGTAGGAATCTGCCTGCAAAGGTTGCTCCTCTCCAACTGAAATATGATTACAAAAAATTGGATCCAACTTTAAGAAAACTGGCTGATAAAACCCCAGACCTGGTTCCTCGCCTTATATTTTAGGTGACTTACCTTCTTTAGCAGGGCAAAGGGAAGTAGTGGGAAGCGCACAAGGGGCAACAAGAGATCAAGAGACCGAAGCCTCTCCCCAAAAAGAAGTTTTGGAGTGGAACTCATCATCATCTCATCCACTACCTCCCACCCGTGCAACTCCATTGCTTGCAAACACCATTGCAAGATTGCATTGAGAACTCTTTCTTCAGATGTTACTGTCAAGCCCGGATGCTGCAAAACCCATGTTCTGTTATGAAAATGTCATTACCGACATTGCACCATAAAGGACAGTTTTCTAAAGTGATTCAGCTGCCTATGGCACTGAATGGGCATGTTTGACATTTTGTCTAACTACTAGACAGGACCCCTACCTCTGATAATCAAAAAGTAATTTGGGTCCAACACTCTCAAATAATTCAGTATCACAGCTTACCATCAGTTAAAGACAGTATATTTTATTCATTTGATACAAAAGCAGAGGAGTTTAATTATGATTCTTCATTTTATTAGTTCCACATTTTACTCTAATTTCTAAAATCTTTTGATCATGTTTATGTGAAAAATAAATTCATTTTTAAAAGTCATTGGTATACGAATATTGATATTTAGGAAAGAAGATCATAAAAGCTTGAAAAATAAGAATTCACCTGGAGAATGTTGCTAAAGGTTGCTTCATCTAACAAGATGAAGTCAATGTTTGCAGTAGTACAATAATCAAAGTGCATCGAAAATTTCCTCTCGCATGTTTCTTCAATAAGTTTACATGAAGGAATGGATGAAATCACTTGGAGAATTAGGCACACTGAGTCCTGCAACAAAGTTCAACAGTTAGCACAGAAACAATGACCCAATCAATTTGCCAAAAGTGTCTGCTTCGTCGTCCATTAAACTTGGCATAATAGAAAAACTCGTTGTATGACCTTCTTCCAATAAGAGAACTCCATCCCTGCATTTAATATGTAGATGAGAGGTATTAATATTTAATAATTCATTATCATAAAAAGGATCGCTTCTTTTCTTTTCACAAGACCGATACCGCAACACTTCTCCGTTCTTTTATTTCTAGTCATACAACTAGCACTTTAGAACACAATGAAGCAAAGTACATAATCTGGCTAACATTTTTTAACAAAACTGTGATAAAGGTTACCACACTACCTCCGAGAGGCATTCTAATAGTGTTTTGCAGCATTCCTGATGGAGGAGAGTAACCGCATATTGATCCGCCAATAGAAGAAGCTGGAGTAGCAGGGTACCTATGTCCATGGTAGCTTCCTTATTGAGTTCCCCGCAGTACATGAATTCAAGCATAACCTTGAACGCTTGAATTGAGACATCTCTCAAGCAAGCCTTAGAAGAAGTGCTCTCAGTCATTCCATTGGTGAACATCTGCAAATACAAGCATTCTTTTTTCAATAGCCATGTCATAAAATTGTCCAGCCTACATAGCTGCAAGGCAGGTGTTGGGACCAATATGAACACTGAGGCACGAATTTAGGAGTCCAGACAATAAAACTTAGCCTTTACTTACTAAACTAAGCTCAAACACTCTTTTACCATGTCCCATGGGCATGTGTTGGATACATATCTAAGGATTGTGATTTCATCACCTCAGGTGCCCTTAAACATTATAATCTAATAGAAGTTGGCGTAAGTTCTGCTTCCCTGAATCAATGCTTATCGAAGGGAACATTACAGAACACTTCTTATCCTAATTTAAAATTTTAATTCAAACAGCATAATGTAAATTCAGTGTATAGGAAGCCACAGATTATCATCATGCTTTGGCAATGGGTTCATCTCATCCAGTATCAACTGAAGTTTAGTGTCAGTTCATTTGGTGAATGCAATATACTTTAAAATAAGTTCCATCTATATGTCAAATTATCAAACATTAGATATTCATTTTCCTGCACCTTTGGACTATCTCTATTATCTGTTTACCCTGTGGATGAATGCCACTGGCTGGCAGATCATATTTCAACCAATTAGGTATAGGATCTCTGCTCACAAACTTCCAGATACACGTTACTTACATTACTAGCATGACTCATGACAGAGTGAAAACTGCAAAAAAATAAGGTATGGAGTTGCTTACCTTTGCAAATGGAACACTCCACAAACCAAAGATAATTTTATGCGACCGCACAACTAGGCCATGACCTTCTATATGTATGTCCACATCGCTGTACTTGCCAGTTAATTGAAATTCTTTAAGCCTCTGCATGTTGACAGGAAGCCCAGAGGGAAAGGCTGTCCCGCAACGGGGCCTAGAGCTTGGATATGATATCTCTACATTCTTACCCGAGTCGAACAATTTTTTGTTGAGTTTGAATCGCTCAATGATTTCTACGCACTGCTTCACCAATGGCATCACTTCGAATTGTAGGCTAAGGGACCTCAGGCAATTGAGATGTGACTCGGGAATCTACATCAGACGTAGACAGAGCCATTGTCAATAAATTAAGAATCAAAAGAATCTGCACTGCCTTGGCAATTTAGGTTAGCATATGAATATACAATAACTATAAATCGCGAGTTTTTAGCCCAAAAAATCTGAATTGTCTTAAGGGGAAGCTACACTGCTACTGTCAAACATGCACCACTTGTGTCATGTCAACCATGCTGAGTAATGCAAGTATTTTATGTCATCCGAGTGATCAAGTCAGAACCAAGTATCCATCCGTTGAACATAAAAATACATAGCCAGATGAAATTCAGGTTAAAACAGATGGATCACATGCTAAAAATTATCCTAAGCCAGGAAAAATGATTTTTAATGGTTGTTTAGGCAATCAGGAACAAACATCCCAGTTTCAGTTGCGCATTAAGCAGAAGCATTAAACCAGGAAGCAAGAATATACATCAGGGAGAACTTGGTTGATTTCTGTCACTGACGTAAATAACAATAAGCTTCATTCCATTCATGAAACTGAATTCATTCCTTTTAAAGCTCATAAATTTGTGTTTCTCGAAACTAAGTTGCTAAGACAAATTGCAAAGACCACTGATATAGTTTACAGCCAATTTCTACAGGCTTGCAATAACCAATTAATGAAGTGTCAAACCAAGCTAAAGAAAGAAACAAGAAATGTTGATAAACACAAATGCAAGGAAGTTCACGAGAATCAGGACTAACCTGAGTATGGCCCGTATAGATAAACTGAAGAAATGCATGCATAACTGGATAGGCTACTCCCTGGAGCTGGATAACATCTTCATTGGACGAACTCAAACTAAAATTTCCACATGCTGCCAAGATTACCTTATGAGCTGGGACAGCCCTTTCTTCCTTTCCAACAATAAACAACACATCAGATAGTTCCCAACTCTCAAGAAAATTTTCAAGCCCCCAATTTTCATATCCTCCGGTATCAACTTCCAAATCTTCTTCCACATCCTTATCCCCCTCAAATTCACTACAATTCACATGCTTCCACATGGATATATGATTTTGATTTAATGGCAACACATTAACGTTCCTATATCCAACATGTTTATCCCAGCTACTAAGCCCAACATATTGAACGCCACAATTGGGGTTTGAATCAAGCCACTGAAATACAAGATTTTGAAAAGGATACATCCCCTTGCCAATACTAATCAATCCATCATAGATACTAATCCAGTAACTTTGAAATGCTGAAGAACAACAAAGTCCGAGCCCTGCCACGTCCACCACTGTTTTCCCGTCAACCTCAATTTTGAATCTCCTATTCCTATGACTACCAATAATCACAGTATAGTGTGGACTATTGTCCCTTTTGTAATGGTAGTGCTGACTACCTACATGCTCTCGAAACACAACGGTGACATCATTGTGAGCAAAAGCTTCGAAAGCTATGCAGCCCCTTCCAGCTTCCCTAAACCTCAAATCATCACGCCAGGCACACTCAAAGGGTGCCACAGTAAGGAACTTCTTCTGCTTCTTCTCCATCATTTCTCCTTCCAAAAATAAAAAATAAAAAATAAAATCTGCCTTCTTCACTCAGTTGACAATTGGCACTTGAACTGGAAAACCAACCATATATTTAACAAGAACATGAACACCTACCAGACAACTTGTTTTACAGATTGAGATATGCAGAGACAACCCTAATCAGATTAGATTAATCAAAAATAAAAGACAAGTAATTATAGGTAGAAGAAAATGAAGATCATCCCGATGTAACTAAAAAAAATCAGATGCTACCTTTGAAATTTCTTTATCCACTCGAGGAAAGAATGGCATATAAAAATCTTTGACACTTACAAAGGTCATTTTCACAGACAAAGCAAGAGAAACTGCTGGAAACCTTTCAGCTGACACAAATGGCCAACCCCACAAGCATTTGTATATATCAATCCAGCAAATTTTCTATCCATTCTACACCACATTCTGATCCAACTTGTCCATCAAAATCAAAATATCTAACAGAAAAAGCACAAGCAGCCCAAAGATCCAAGAAAAGACAAGTATAGATAATGGGTAACTCGTGGAAACAACAATTATATCGGATATTGAAGAAAAACCCACCTCAAAAATTTCATCAAAACAGAAAGACTATTATAGTGGGTATCATTTTACCTGGAAATATAAGTTCATGGAGCCATCTCCGTCATCAAATAGAGACCAAATACAGTTGTATGAAATGTGAGTGTAGAGGTAGCAATAAGTTGAGAGAGAGAGAGAGAGAGATGGTGACTCGAGGAGGAGGGTCCGAAACAAAACAAATAAAAGATTTGATTTGGTGAAGTGAAGGGATTGAGATCAGAGGCTGACAGGGAGTCTAATCAGCCTGGAATTGGATATTTTCGGAAATTTATGTGAATTTTCCTTTTTTTTATGGTTAGTAACCTCTTTTTACTTGTGATTCGACACGTTGCCGCGGTACTTTGTGTTCTTGTCAAAGCTGGCATCAACTAATGTGACACGCAAGCCGTTAAGATCTTTATCTCTCCAACTCACCTCTGACACATTCAATCAATCAATACAGACCGTCCAAAGTTTGGGCCGGCCAAGTCAAACTCTTACGTCGTCAGACGACTGTATTCACATATTTGGAAGTGTCTGCGGTTAATTGTGGATAAAATAAAAATAAAGTTATGATTTTTTGTTTAACAGAAAAATAATAAAAATTAATAAAAGACCACATTATAATATTTTTGATAAAAAAATTTATCTTTAAAAATATAAAAGAAAAATCCTTAAATTTTTCAGAGTGTACATTTCATCCTATTTTTAATAATAAAAAACTTTGAATAAAACTTCAGAACATAAATTGAATTACATATCATTTTTTCATATTTACATGAAAAAATTTTAGTTGTATTCCTTCTACTTTATCATAATCATATTTTCAAGGACATTTCTTTTATTTTTTGAATCTTTACTAACATCCTCTGTTAGATTAAATGTATTAATTAGAAGGTAATTTTATTAAATTATATATTATATTTTAGAAAAAAATTCATCTACACCCCCACTATTTTCTAAATTTTTTTAAGTATTAAAATTTGTGCCGATTAAAATTCAATTCTAGGTAATTAAAATTTATTTTTTTATGTATTAAAAAATTTGAGTCGATTACAATTCTATTCAAGGCTCATATCAAATTTTAATCAACTCATATTAAATTTTGATCTGCCCAATTTATGATATATAAAAAAATATAAATTTTAATTGGCTCAAATTTAATACGTAAAAAATTAAATTTAATTAACTCGAATTTTATGTAAAATGATTGTTTGGGGTTTATGTCGAGATAATTCTTATAGTTAAAATAATTCATTTTTGTTATAAATACTGGTTTAATGGCAGAAGTGTTAGGGATACTTTTAATAAAAGACGAAGTGCCCTTGAAAACATAAGAAACTAAAAAATGTGTGGTTGAAATTTTCCATATTAACATTGAGAACCATCCGGAATCCCCAAAATGTTAATTAGAATTAATTATTTGTGAGGCAGAAGATAACGATCCGTTGTAGTCTAGGTGGTTAGGATACTCGGCTCTCACCCGAGAGACCCGGGTTCAAGTCCCGGCAACGGAATTTTATTCTTTTTCAGTCTAAAATAGTAATTATGTCCCAATAGCTTTGTCAGCTTTGCTCTCGTACATCATACAAGCAAGACTCTCTCTCTTCGTTTTAGTTGCTACCCCACCCACCCATTGAGCAGCTGCTTATACAGTTGTGCCAATGGCCAAAGAATTGTGTATGATTTCATGTGAACTTGGGTATCAAATTCGTTTTGTGATCATTTTCTATTTTTTGTTCAACAGACATTTTGATGTTTGATCATCAGGAACAAAGATTGGATTCCCCGTGTGCAATTTGATTATAGCATTGCTACTGCATCAATTACCAGCTATATTGAAATCTGCTTTTTACGTGTTGTTTTTGGATAAAATGTTATCTGAATAAATCAAAACATCATCATAGAGGTTTTTTTACCATCTTATTGTGTTCCTCCAGATAATTTTTTCAATGATTTACATCTTTTTTCACAAAAAAAGGAGAATTTGAAAAAAAATCAGGTCACCATATATGAACTATCACAAAAATATTGTAACATCTCTAATAAATGAGCTATTTTTATCATTCAGAACATATGGAAAATTACATGGCAATTTCATGTTCCAACAAGAACTGTTGACAAAAAGCATTTGATGTAAATACAACCAAGTCTCAAAAAAAAATTCAGCCAAATCAATCTATGCTCAGCCAACATCACCCCGGGGCAACATGTGTTGCTCAAATCCCCCACTTCAAATCCCCATTTACTTTGTTGCATTAAATATTACCACTTAAAGCTAAATCCTGCTGGAACCTAGTTTCTAAGAGAAAATAAGCAGGTTCTGATTTTGCGGCATAGCCATATTTGGAAGTACTGTATTTTCGATGCACACCTGTTAGTTTCCCACTGCCTGCTTTCTGATGGAAGCAAACCATCAGCTTTGAGCATTCCCTGTAAAAATTGAGACTCGTTACTTTTTTCTTTAAATTTTAATTTGACAAAGCAGATTCCACTTACTGTAGCTGAGCTTCAGTATAGTTAGTATGTCTTTCACTGGTCTTACTCCACTGCTCTGATCCACTGAGAGTAGATTTAGCAGTGAAGATAGCAGCAGCAGCTAACAAAGAAGGTGGGAACTTAAGCATTTCATACTCAACCAGGCAAAGCTCGATTATGTAGAAGGACAGAAGCTCCAGCTGGTTCAAGATAATAAGGAATTTGATCACAACCAACTACGGTGGAAGATAAAATGTACATAGAATATACTTGACAGTATGAACCTTTTTGTCAGATTGAGCAGCTTTAAGATATCTCCTCATAAACACATATGGAGTGGGGACTGAGAGATTGAACTGTAAAGTATTGACCATCAATTTCTCCTACAAAAAAAAGGAGAGTAACTCATATTCTAGTTGTAGCCATGTATCATTACAAAAAGGTACAACACTATTGAGCAAAGGTTGGTGGCATACCATCTCAAGCACTTCTTTTCTGCTGTAAGCCTTGTCAGAAATCAATATGAGATCTTCCACAACAGGTACATAAACCTCTTCATATTTGCAAGCAAGAAGCATGGCCGTAACCCCAACAAGCTGTAGTTTCTTTCTCACCACTGGTTGAACTGCTAAGAATCTATCAATGAGGTTGATAGTCAGATACAAGGTCTCATCCATCAGTTCGAACTTGTAATGGACCTGTTCATTTGATGAAAAATGGTTAATGAGAGGGCTACATATTACTTGGAGACATAATTACTTTAAAGTAATAGTACATGATTTCATATACCTCAATCAGCCAGTCAATGAGAATTGCTCTCATTCTCTCGTTAATATCAAATTGTTGTGCCATGTAGTTCGGTGAGACACAGCTAGAACTCTGCCGTAAAAAATTAAAGAAGTAATGTTTAGCAAACAATCCCCAGGACGCAACCTTGCCAGTGATTCATAGCAATGTTCATATTCACCTATACATTAACCATAAGCAACCACTTATTTTTTATTAGGCAAGCTACCATTTAAATTAGCTGAATGATTAAATGCAAATATGAGTGGTAGTTAATCAGCTGAAGGCTATTGGATGCAGATATGACAAGGCAGGCATTGGAATTGGTGGATTCATGTTAGAGATTACGTTTTTCCTGAACGTTGATAATGGTTACTGAAAAACAAATAATAGGGTTTCACGAATTGGTTGTCATCAAATTTGCATGGTTTTTATTTAAGGAAGTTTGTCCACAAGCATGCGTTGTGTATAAGATCTATATTGATCTGTCAACACATGTGATGATTGTTCAGCAGATTGGTACCATATATAGACAACCAGTATTCTACCAAACGGATAAGTTGCCTCCTACACAATGTATATTTGGTGACAAACTTGTTCAAATCAATTATATGTACATTAATGACTTTGTCTTACACAATGTTTGCTTGTTGACAAACTTGCTCAAATCAAAAGCATACGTGTTCACAGGTGTCTACAAAATTAATTGTTGATGGTGCGCCCACATACTTCTACATAAGATCTTAACACAGATCTTAAAATACCTTCAACAAAACTGCAAGTGTGAGCTCGGAGAAGGAAAGGCCAAAAACACTTTGGCCTCTAAAGGAAATGAGCAATGATGAAATGTCAAGAAAATAAAACCTTCTGCTGCCTATTGCAAAAAAATCTCATGCTGAGAAATCACAAGTTTAATAAGCAACGAAGCAAATATTTCAAAACACGATCGAGTGTGTTGAGGCATGAACCAAAAATTCTACACCAAAACACAAAGAAAGATTATAATGTATGCGATTCCAAAACAAAGCAACCAGAGTAGATATAGTATCACCTCTGCTTTCATGTAATGGGCATTTATATCATCAATGTACTCAACAACTGCAAGAGGGTTGTTCTTATCTGTGCTGTCTATGTCCACTATTAGCCCCTCTTCTATATCTTCCATTTCAATCTCCCCATCCTAAACAAAATAGAGCACTAATGAAATTCTGGCCAATCAAAATTCAGCAACTAGCTTTAACATACGAGAAGTTCTTATTCTTTTTATTTTTTGGGGGAGGGAGGTGGGGGGGGGAGAAGGAGAGAGGGTGGAGAAGTCATTACCATCCGGTCTATTTCATCCAGCATAGCTTCCGTGTGTTGCACAAACATCGGCACAGAGAAGTCAATAGTGACGTTGTCATCCTCCACATCAATAATGGTACAGTCTTCTGACTCACTTGTGTACGGAACTGGTTGGACCGACTGCTTTGTTTCCTATTGATAAGTTAATTACCGTGTCAAATACAAAACCAACCAAACTTACTTTACTAACAAACATATAAAATTTCTCTTTGTTCATGAAACCGTGTATTGGACCTTAAGTAAGGGTTGCTGCTGTTTGCTAGCCATTTGTGCAGCAAACTTCCTGAATGAATGAACAAACAAGCAAACACAAAATCTTTAGACCAACAACGAGAAGGGTCAATAACCTACCTAGTTACCGGTGGATGCATTGGAATAGGCGGATTGCTATTAGAGATCACATTATTTCTGAATGTTCATAACAAAATTATACAGGTCAAGATGGGTTACTAAAAAAAATAAGAAGAAAGGCCCTTGGTGAACCATGAAAGACTAGGTTTCACGAATTACTCTGGCAAGCCTCCTCTGTTGTTAATGACGCATGGATAAGGTGGAGCTCGGATGATGTTACGATTGATCGTACTCAATGCCCTCCGATTTTGTGCAATTCCAGCTGCTAACTTCCCATTCTCCGCTCGTAAGCCCCCTATTAATTAACAAAAAAAGGGCCATCTCGGAAATTAGGGTTTTAGAAACAAGCTTAATTAGAAATTCAAAAAAGCACATTGGTTATCTGGATAAACTAATCCAAGAGAAGTTGCAAACGTGAACTGGTTCAGAATTCAAACAACCTTGAATATTTGAGGGCCTCCTGATCACTCTCGGATGATTCTCTTGTGATCCAACCATCTTGACTGTCTGCAAGGAACAGCTAAAGGTCATCAAAGATCCAATTACATACCTACCTAAGAACAGAAAAGACTAAAGAGGAAGAACACCAAACACCCATCTGTCAATCAGCACGTTCTCTTTGGTAAACCATTCAACTTAAAAAGAAAAGATAAAGAAGAAATCAAGAACCGATACCATGAACAAAATCCAGATCGTGAATTCGAAAAAAGAGCTTCAAAATCAAGAATCCTTCAATCCTTGTGGCGACTTCAAATTGTAGTAAAATTGTCCAATTTATGATCGAAAAGAGAGAGACTATACGGCTCCAACAAATCGATCACTGGAGTGATTGATCTTGATGTATATCTCTCTCTAAAATCCAGTTTTTCTCTCTCTGCTGGATCCTTAGGTATATTGGATTATATTATAAACCGATAATAGAAAGAGAATCAAAGAGAAACCAACGAATATATGTCTGAACACGTCCTCTCTTCTATATTTTTGAAGCCAACGGCTAGTAAATCTCAGTCGTCCGATGTATAACGATGAAAAGGCGCCTCCCACCGTTAGGTTTAACGGCTACCTTGCCGTGTGTTGTCAGAAATTTTACCATGTTAGCCATTATATCGTGGAAGTCCTATTCTTGATATTTTTTTTAACTAAGTCCTAAATTTTATTGTATTTTAATTTTATTTTTACCTGTTAATTACCAAAACTCTTTTATTTTTCATTTTTTTTTTGATCAACTAGAACCAATTAAGAGCAGAAAAATTTCTTGCTTACAAAACAAACATTGAAACCCAATAAAAAAAATTAAAAAAAATTAAAAAAAAAAAACACTTCTAAAACTTTAAGGCAAGATCCAAAGAAAGTCTACCTTTTCTTATATTCTTATTTCATTGGGATACTACCTAATCTTAAAACTTGAGATAATATTTGTCGAGTATTTAATAAAATAAAAAAGTTTTAAAAAAACTACATCAATAATATTTGTGGATTAATAGCACTTTAATATCGTTATCAATTCAAACACAATAACTAAAATAAATGTCTAACTTAATCATTTTAAATCTAATATAAATTAATAAAATAATTTAAAACTAACAAGAAAATATATCAATAAAAATTGTAAATATAATAATATTACCTTAATCAAAATAAGAATTAACTTGTAAAAATAAGACACATCACATGTCGTAATTGAAAAGCCTCAAGGATGTGCTGTTGAAGTTGACATACCAAAAAACATGCAAAGTCTCGTAGTAATAGAAATACTCGAAGAGTATGTCACCGAGTTGACATAAGAATGCCAAAAAATGAAAGTTGGAAACTAAAGAATAAGGATAAAATTGAAATATAATTGAATTAGAACTTAATTGAAATAAAATATTAAAAATAGGACTTCATTGATATAAAACAAAAATAATAAGACTAAATGAATATTTGCAAGGAAAAGTAATACTTATTAACAATTTTTCCTAGAAGATTTGGTAAGCAAATTTGGGCAACACAGTTTTTGGATAAAATTGTGCTTCCCAAATTTATTTACCAAATCTTATATCCTAAGAAATGTGACTCAAAATTCCATGTATTAAATATTTGACAGAGTTAGTGGACCTCATTAATCCAACCACTCACATAGATTTGAAATATAAAATTTGATAAATGATTTAATCAGTATAGCATGGCTCTTAGTCTTTATTGTTAACAAATAATTGCCCATGCCTCGAGCAGTAACAAAAAAATTAATATATTGTGCTAAAAATTTATATCTGCACAATAATTTAAACGCATAAACTCAATAGTTCAAAATATCTATATTTTCAAATGAAAAATGAAAAGAACCATATTATAATTATACATAGAAAGGGTTAAAGGGGGAAAAAAGACCATGAAAGATTAAAGTAAACAACATGCCAAAAAAAAAAAAGCTATATATATCTTACGTATTTGAATTATTTGTATTACTCAAGCATCAAGTATTTACTAAAATTTATATAAGTAATATTTGTAATTCAAATTAATTTCTAATTTAGTGCTAATTAAAACTATTACTCAAAAATATATAAATCAAAGAAAATATTCTTACCCTAAAACATTGAAATAAATCTATATAAAAATTGATGACTTTTAACAACACTTTCCACAATTATAACAACAATAAATGTGTTTTATGATTACAACCAAAAAAACAATAGTCAAAGTAATCTACACCGTGACAATTACCACCACCTGATAAATAAGCGAAATAATCAAAGTAAAAGATATTGTCACAATCATCACCAGCTTATCAATCACCATTTCTCCAAATGACACTTTCAAAGATGGGTTATTAAGACAAAGTTGTTCAATTTTTTGGTGGAGCGTGACAAAGAAGAGTTGCAGGGATTGGTGGGAGTTGTTGGAACAAGTGTAGGTTGATATAATAGATGTCCATAAAACGGTGTTTTGTGTGGGCATTTGGTTGAACAGTTGATTCGGGTTTAGCTTTGGAGTCAGGTTCGATTCCAGTGTCAAGTCAAGGTTTGGGCCTGAGTCTGAGGTAAAGTCCAGGTTCGGTCCGAGTGCGGGTTAGAAAAAGAATTTGGATAATGATTAGACTAAGTTAAAGCAGGAATTAAGGCAAGAACAACAAAGAAGTAAAACTAATAACAGTCTAAATGCGAAGATCTATTTATGAATATTAAGCCTATATATTTGTAAAACATGAGCCAAATACAAGAACTTATAGTATAAAAAAACAAATTATAAATACAAGAACTGATAGTAATTAGAGCATACGAATCTATTGACTTGTTTTATACAAAGTACAAAAAAAAAATTATAAACCAACACCTATAGAAAAAATACAAAATAGCTTTGGCAAAGAAGGAAACGAATTTGTAAGAGCATAGAAAAGGAATGGTATACAAATGCAAAAATAAGGATGGATTCCACTATAAAACAATGATAATTTTATGCGTCGCAAATTCTTGATTTTGACCCGATCGAAAAGAAACAAAAATGATACGACTTTAGCATGCAATCAATTATGTTACACATTAACCCAATGGACCACACCACCATACTGCATTGGAATCATCATTCCATATTTTAAAACTTTATTTTGATTTTTCCAACAACCAAACTGTGTCTACAAAAAAACTGAGATTGAAAAAAAAAACACGACTTCAAATAATTTTAAGATTTGAATTCATGGCTGCACACAGTCAGTCACAAATCATCAGAGATTAAGCACTCATTTAAGCTTATAATAGAACAATATCAATGCACATACTAAATTTATCACATATTCATCGATCATACATCTTATGCTGGTAAAAAACCATCAAAGACCATCCCTCAATAGACACAAAACTTTCTTGAAATTACTTGTTCACGTACAAGAATGGAATGTGATATTATATAGCTTTTTGTTCCCAAATTGCTGAGGCTAGTAGGTGAGGCTGATAACTGGTCAAGTCAACAATAAGTTCTCCTGAAACTTCTTATGAGAATTTGTCACCTCATATACACAAAGAGAGCCAGAATAGATGGGTGAGTCCTTGATAGGGGCAAATTATGAGGAAATGGAAGCTAAGGAGTATACACAATAGAGTATACAAAAACTAAAGCCGAACGTATTTAATCTCTTCGGTATATATAGGAGAAAAAAGGTAATGGAGAAAGTGAGAGCAAAATGCATAAGTAGTTTAATAACCAATTATTTTGTGAATAATACTGTTAGTACCCAATAATCTAGACTAAAACATTGATACAATGATGTGGCAGCTAACATGTTCATAACAAAAAAAATTCAGCAAGTATTAGCTACAATAATTTTATAGGTCATGTCAACTGGCACATTGTTAGGTCAAATTATTATGTCTCAATAACATTAGGGCTAAGTGTCTTTAGAGGGAGGGACTATAGGCTATGGCTAGAAGACCTTTCTAACTAATGAAATGGATACAGTTCACACCAATAACAACTATTAATTTAATGCAAGCATAAGGAGCAAATACATGCACACCACACCACGATCAATACTTCATTGTAAGCAATAAGCACTTTAAAACATAATGCCTGTGAATTTTAAAAAGGACATTGACGTTCTTTGGGTTGGATCTATTGGAAATTAGTTCATTTTCGTTAGTCCTTACTAATAAAAATACAAAACAATTCGCACACACGATTCTTTGCTCAATTTGCCTATCAGACAAAAAATTACAAAAACGACAGATAAATTAATTGAACAAAAAATTAACTTCTTTCACCAGTTCACTCATGGAATCGCAACTCGATAATTACACCTCCGACTTCCCATAACACGATGAATCATCCACGTCCAAGAGATGTCCCAAATGTGGTTTCCAAACAAATAATATAGGATTAGTAATGGTTAAGCTTGGCAAACAAAAGTTTTTTTCGTTAGTATACTTTTATAGAGAGTAAGATAAGATTAGTGTATGTGTGTGTACATATTTTGGTGTGTTCCTAAAATGATCTTTAGCCAAAATTTTAGAAGTGATCTTTAGTCATTGGATAAGTAGCAAAAAAAATTTTAAATCGTAAAAAATAATAAAAGTTATTTTTTTATATTTTTAGAATTTAAAATGATTATACTTTATATATTTAATATTTGTGGAATGTAATAGATTCACGAAACAATTCTCGGAAGAGATCAAGTTATTTACGGATCATCTGTGAACTAAGTGCTTCACAGACATCCAATAAACAACTCACAACTCAGCAAAGTGGGGCCAACGGTTAAGTTGAATTGCGTCAAACAAGTTGGAGAGTCAAAACAATGAAAAAAATAAATAAGGTGGATGGATGGATTGTCTTTTGACTTTGGAGGATGTGCATAGAAAGAAAGAAAAAAACTATGACAGAGGGGAGATGGCTTTTGCTGATCAGGTTGCTGTACCAAAGGAACATTGCTTCACCAAAAATATGATTTTTGATGGCTCTTTGACTCAGATGAATTTCTTGAAGTCAGTGATGTTGTGAACAAAAATAACAAAACAAAGTGATCAATTTTTTTTGACCTCATGAATAAACATAGATAGTGTGACACAAGAAAATTTTGATCGATGAACTAGTGCTCTGATACCAATGAAGAATTTTGTGGAATAGAATTTGACAACTCTGATGGATTGAGAATTAGGCTTTGAGAGTTAAAACTCTCTTCGATGTAAAAGCAATAGAATTGAGATTTTCTCTCCGTTAGATGTTTTTTTACTATGTTTTATCTGATAACCTTTTTTATAGTGAGGGATGTATCAACTAGTTATTACTAACTCAGCTAATTAGTCTTAACTCCACAAATATTTTTTCAACTCTGTATAGTCAAAGAAGGATAAAAATATTTCAAATAAGATTGACTAGTCTTTCACTACTTGATAGATTCCTCTACCAAGTCACTCATATTGACTATAAAACCTAAAATAATAATATTTAATAAATAATAATTTCACAAAAATAAATCTATGATATATATCATAATATAATATTTAACTAACGAATTAAAATTTTTTGTATTCTGAATTTTACCACCAATAATAACTTAATCAATATCAAAAAATTTTAACCACCGATTCCAACACACTGATCTTCTCCGTTCGTCATTTGGAAACAGAAGGGTAATAGCGATGAAGGTGGAGCGGGGATACGCTATGCTACAGTGGAGGACAACTCTTCTCACTGCCAAGCAAGTGCGTATCCTTTCCTCCTCGTGGGAACCACCACCTCCAACGGTTAGTAGGAATGACATCAGCATGATCTTTCATGGGCCCCATGGCAATAAAACGGCACACTAATTAAGGCGGCACCGGCACGGGCACCAAACCAATCTGTAGTTCTGAACCCTATCTGTCCCATTAACTGATTAGCTCTGATGATTTGGGCTGTTCAGGTAGCTGAGATAACGAGCCAACGAACTTATTCTTGCTTACAGACCAGCCCAGCCCAGCCCAAAATGGAATAGCCACGTAGGTTTCTCAAAACCAGCTCCGCCCATCTTATTCCTATTTTTTGTGAAAATTGAAGGTGAATTCGTACTTGTTTGGAGATAAATCCGACAAAAAAACTTATAAGATACTAAATCTATGTTTAAAATTATGTATAATGACTTAAGTCCAATTTTTTTTCTGAAAAATATCCCTAACAATGTTAAATTTGGTCAATTATAAAAAGTCATATGTTAAATGTTTTGAGATATATATGATAACAAGTTGTTCAATTTTTTATGGAAACCGAATATATCATAATCTGACGCTAATTGCGACAAAATTATTAATCTATTAATTCAATTTCATATCAAAAGATTTCATTAACAATTCAAATTCAAAATCAAAGAATCCGGTTGGACTATTCTCCCTCTCTCCCTTTACAGACGGGCAAATGGATTTCTATGCTCCGCTCACTCCCATGGTGGTGCAGTCGTCCAAACGTCATCTAGTAAATTAGTTGTCTCAATTTATTTTTACTCTCTCATGCTTTTCCGATCTTGCCCGATGATGGAAAAACCTCAACACATTGAACGGTTTGGTGTTTTTACGTCATCATTTGCATTTGGGCATCATTAGGAGAAATTATCGTTCGCGCTTTGAAATCATCATTTACGTTCGTCTGTTCGTGCTTTTGAATTAGAATTATTTTAATTTTTTGATTTTTTTTCCTTTGTTTTTCTGAAATTCAATGTTACTTATTGATATTCATATCACGATGTTTTTTTACCAGAGTTTTTTTTTATTTTGTTTTTGAAAATAGGTTCTAAGTGTATTTTTCATGTTATTATTCGTGTTTTATTGAAATTAATATTGATTCGTTAAATTTAATATTTCATGTTATTATTTTTTTTACGATATTATTGTTTTTTGTGAAGAATGTTACTTTTTATGTTATTGTTATTTTGAGCATATTACTGTTTTTGTTGAGCGTATTATTATTATTATTATTATTTTAAATATTAATATTCAATATTAATATTTTTGTTTTTGTTTTTGAATATTACTATTTTTGTGTTTGAATGATACTATTTTTGTGTTTGAATTTGAGAGATAATTATTGTTATGTATGTTATTATTTTGGTTAAACATGTTACTATTTTTGTTGAACATGTTACTATTATTATTTTAAAAAATATTAATATTGAATATAACTATATAAATATATATATAATTTATATGTGGATATAGATAGATGTGAGAGAAAAATTTTTTTAATGTTAGTCAAACTCCTAAAATTTATGAGTTTTAAATTTTTAGTTTTAATTTATTTTTAAAGAAAATGATAGTTTGGTAAAATTGACAAAAAATAAATTTCATAACAAATAAATTTTTTTAACAGAGTTAAGATCAAATAAGTTCAGGGAGTGGCCTCTAAATCTTCCTTATTTTTTTTTCCAATAATTATGTTCTTTTTGTCCTTTCTGAGAAGCTAATTCCGGAAAAAAGTAACGCTCAGCACCATATTTGTGACGATAGCAATGAAAAGAGCCAATATTTTATGGGGGCTGCCCTTGTGCCCATACCAAACCTTATCGGCATATTCCCAAACCCATCAGCATTCATAATATTCCAAGAAAAAAAGACCGATGCCCCTCTTGTTTTTTAATTGTGTTGAGATAAATTTATATTAAATTTTAATAGGATCGTGTAAATTTTTTTTTATTTATATTTAATTTATTTATTATTTAGTTTGTATCATATATGAATCGTATATAATTGATATATAAACAAATTTTATTATGTATAAATCGTTTATAATTGATATATAAATGAGTCATATTATATATTTTTTTAATTAATTTTATTCATATTTAATTTATTTATTAATCAAGTTCACTCGCTTACTAAACAAATAATTTAAAAAATTCAAAGTCTCAAACATTTTAGTTTTATATCATGCTGGTGTAATATTATCAGTCGTTGCTCGGTGTTATATTTAGACACTTTTATCCTTTTTCCCATTCATAACAATTTCTGCCTGGAACACACGTTTCAAGGGCATTTGGAATACGTGTCCCCTTCTAATCGGGCCATGTCATCCAATGCCAGTCGTTAACCAGTTGAGGATAATGTCCAAAAAATAGGATAAGGAACTATGAGTGTATGACGTCCTCATTTACTTTCATCAAATCATTCCTAATCCCAACCTCAAATTTTTTTATCACATAAGTTTATTAAAAATCACCGGTGGGCCCTTACTTTTTGTCCAAAGATGGGGAGAACTCGATAAATTTAATAGCAACTATTGGTACTTAATTTATTGACCTAATTTATTATGTTTTTTAAATTGATTATAAAATTTATCAAATATTAGAATTTAGTGTTGATCCAATATTTCTATTAAAATCACATCATTATGTTAACAAATTAGGTCAGATTTTTATGTCCAAATAGTATTGCTCTTAACGAACAAGAACAATGTTATTGAAAGCTAATTTACTGACCTAATTCACTATGACCTTTAGATTAACTGTGAATTCCATCAAACATTGAAAATTGGTATTTATCCAATGATTTTAATGAAACCACGTCATTAGATCAATAAATTATATCAAATTTTTTGGTATAAATAATATTTTTCTAACAATAATACTTTTTAATTTTTTATTTTAATTAATCGTAACCATTAAATTGTATAAATATCGCCACTAATAAATAAAGAATGAATGAACTTTTGTATCGTGGGACTATGGTATAAGCAACGCTGCCCCTACGGCGCTGCCGTACTGTAAAAGTGTAAATCCTCATCCGGAAGAGCTGAAGATGATAGAAATGTGAGCCAGGGTGGCCCCACCGTTTATAAATAATTCTTTCTGTTTAAAAAGGACAAAGATAATAGTGTGTGATCGCCACACAACAACAATCCACCCTTCTCTTCAAATCAGGCCCGTTTCTCCTCCACCTCCCATCTTTTTCGTTCGACAAGAACAGTCTTCTCGCAGGTTCCGCCATGGATCCATACAAGGTACAAGATCTTTACGCCCTAACTCTTTAATCTCCTATCGCTTCTACTTATATTTGATGTTTATGCATCTATGTTTTTTAATTTCAGTTAATTAATCACTTCTTTTGTCCAACCTCATCTTTATTCATCGACTACCTCGTCGATTGATTAATCTTTGGGGGTCCCCAAGATTGAAAGTTTTAATTTCTTGTCATCTCTGCGTTTTCTTAATAATTTATGGACAGAGCATTCGTTTCCTAAATGATTTTGATGATTGACGTGTTTTGTTGTAAATATCACACTGCTTATTATTCCCTTTGTTTTTACGATGCAGCACCGCCCTTCTAGTGCTTACAATTCCCCCTACTGGACAACCAACTCCGGTGCTCCAGTTTGGAACAATAACTCATCATTAACCGTTGGAACTCGAGGTAATTTTGACTATACATGTCCACTGTTGTGTTTTATATGAGTAGTCGGGTGGTAAAGAGTATCTTTTGTAGTTTATCTTTTGAAATTTATGTGAGAAGTTTATCTTTTACCTAATATTTATGTGAGAAGTTTATCTTTTGAAATTTTTTGGCATCACTAGGGTTTGTTCTTTGTCGAAAAAAATGGTTAACGCATTAGGTTTTTTCAAGTAAATGTTGTTATATTTCTCTGAGTTCTGATGCATATGCTGTATTTTAATGGCTTGTTAATGGAATTTCAATACGTGTGTGATGGTACGATTCAGCTGTTTTAATCTAGTCAACATATAAGAAGAATCAAGTTACAGGGGAAAGTTTTGGTCCTCCCTATGTTCTTAATTTTTTGAATTTTCATTTGTTTAATAACAAAACAAGGTTTCATTAAATCACACTCCACCACATTTCCTATGTGACAACCCCTCCATCCCCACTAATTAACAACCACCTATTTAACTTGTTTTATGAACAAAAATATTTGTATTGTCCCATAATTATATTACAATTCTCTGTCCAATATTTCAAGTGATAGAGGTGGGGAAGGGCACAGATTTGGGGAGACAGGTCTATCGCAAGTATTGGAGTATACATATGTTTATTTGGCTAAACATGATTTTTTGTTGGATCTCTTATCTTTCAGCATTAATTTTTTTTTATATGTCATGCTTTTCAATTACTTTCTCATACTTATGTTTATATCTATGTTCATGAGCTTGGTATATCAACGTACATATTTCTTAACAAATACAATAGCAGCATCATAATTAATGGTGGACAATTGAAGTCATACAATAATCCTAATGTTTTTGAGATTCTGTTTAATCTGAAGTCCTACCTGTGGATTTTTCTGCCAAAAACAATTATGCTTTGAAAGTCCATGTCTCTGACTTGAGACCCCCTTCCATTCGACAGGCCCAATCCTCCTTGAGGATTATCATTTGGTGGAGAAACTTGCAAATTTTGATCGTGAGCGGATCCCAGAACGTGTTGTCCATGCAAGAGGTGCCAGTGCCAAGGGTTTTTTTGAGGTCACCCATGATATCTCTCAGCTTACGTGTGCTGATTTCCTGCGAGCCCCTGGAGTCCAGACACCAGTCATTGTTCGTTTCTCCACTGTTATTCATGAGCGTGGAAGCCCTGAAACCCTTAGAGACCCCCGAGGTTTTGCAGTGAAATTTTATACCAGAGAGGTGAGGATTATCAAGTATTGGTTGTCTCTATTGCTTGCTGAAACCGTATTGTTCATATGCAGAGATGGTGCAGATCATTTGTTGTTTAATTTGATGGGTTGTTTGCATCAAGTTCACCTATGCATTGCAGTTCATTCGCATGACCTTGCTTATTTTGCTGACTTTGTTACGAGTATATCTATACTAGAAATTGTTGAACTATAATCAAAGCAGAACATTATGCGTCAGGAATTTCATATCCTGGGGAGCTCTAGATCTGCCGAACTCCGTCATTGCCCACCACTTTTATTTGGTGGCATTCAGGTTCATGTGGCCGCAATTTAGCTCTGCCATTCTGCTAATTGAGCATGATGCTATCTCATATTCAAAGACTAGGGTACCCTGCGCAAATGCATTTTTTTTACTATAGTTAAAATGTATGTGAATGAGTAAAATCTTTGTTTTGGCTAAAATATAAGCGTGGTTAAAATGTTTATTGTGGGTAAGATGTAAGTTATACCATTAGTTGTGAGATGTAAGCGATCTCGGACATTGTTGTGCTTTATGCCCTATTGTATTATATAGATGGTGAAGTTTTCTAGTCTCATGAAATTATTGCCAAAGTCAAACAAAGTTTGCGGATGCAGTTGCTTACTTTGGTAGACCCAAAGAAGACAACATCTAAACACACGATTTTGTGGGGAAAAAGTATCAGTGTAGCATGGAGTTTTTATCTTTTCTACTCTAGAGCCTATAAACTATTGTTCATGTCCTTACCTGCTTTTGCATAACCATATGAAATTGAACGATTTCAAGCTTAAAGGACTATAGTCCTTCTTTATGTTATTTTGGGGCATTTGGATTGGGATTTGATTTTGAGTTCTGTCTCTCTTTGTTTCACATGGTGAACTCTTTCCCATGACTCAGGGTAATTTTGACCTGGTGGGAAACAATTTCCCCGTCTTTTTTGTCCGTGATGGAATGAAATTCCCAGACATGGTTCATGCTCTTAAACCCAACCCTAAGTCTCACATCCAGGAGAACTGGAGAATTCTTGACTTCTTCTCCCACCATCCAGAAAGTTTGCACATGTTCACCTTCCTCTTTGATGACTTGGGTATTCCGCAAGATTACAGGCACATGGAGGGCTCTGGTGTTAACACCTATACTCTCATCAATAAGGCAGGGAAAGCACACTATGTCAAGTTTCATTGGAAACCTACTTGCGGAGTGAAGTGCCTGTTGGAGGAAGAAGCCATCAGGGTCGGAGGATCTAACCACAGCCATGCCACCAAGGATCTGTATGATTCAATTGCATCTGGAAACTACCCTGAGTGGAAACTTTTCATCCAGATACTCGATCCTGATCATGAAGACAGATTCGATTTTGACCCACTTGATGTAACCAAGACCTGGCCTGAGGACATCTTGCCCCTGCAGCCTGTTGGACGCTTGGTCTTGAATAAGAACATCGACAATTTCTTTGCGGAGAATGAGCAGCTTGCTTTTTGCCCTGCTATTATTGTTCCTGGCATTTACTATTCAGATGATAAGCTGCTCCAAACACGAATATTCTCCTATTCCGATACTCAGCGGCACCGTCTCGGGCCAAACTATCTGCAGCTCCCTGCTAATGCTCCCAAGTGTGCTCATCACAACAATCACCATGATGGTTTCATGAATTTCATGCACAGGGATGAGGAGGTGCTTTACTCCCTTTTGTTTCTTAATCCATTTTTTTAGGGACAAGTTGGGTTCTTGAATTTTTCATTTTTTTATGCTTCTGGTATAGTTATCGTAAACATAATAAAAGCTTGCTTTGAGATATGGTTTCCCAAGTTCATAGAGAGTGTTTATAAGATGTGAATTTGATGTTATCTTCTGCTTTAGAATCCCTCAGGATGTTGTGATTATATGCTATTGAACTTTTCCCAGGTCAATTATTTCCCCTCAAGGTTTGATCCTGTTCGTCATGCAGAGACTCACCCCATTCCTCCTCCTATCTTGACAGGAAAGCGCAACAAGGTAAGTTTCTGTTGCTAGCTTATGATACTTTCTAAGTTACTATTTTAATGGCTGGTTACTTGGATTGCCAGATGTGTCTGAGTAATATATGGCTTAAACGATGTGTAAATTCAATAGATTTGTTAGTTGAATCTATTTGGGCAAATTTGTTTCTTATTGAGGTATTCCAGTGAGGTTCAAGGTCCCTTTAGACCACTGTTTAAAACAGCTTGTCCGAAGTATTAATATGTGCCTCAATCCCCTTGATTTCTTTCTTTTTTTCTCCCCTGCTTTTGTTACTTTATTTTCTCTCGGTCACTGTTAAAAACTTAAAGTTAGAACCATGCTTAGTAGATGATTTCACCAAAAATGCTAAGCTTCCAGACATGGTTGTGTTGATGGTGATGGCAATAGTGGTGGTGATAAAGGTGGAGTGTAATTCTCTGTCCATGGCACTCATCTGCCACTGATATCCCTGGCTTCTATTGAGTCCTGGCGGGTCTCAGTTTTCAATAAATTGAAATAAACAGAACCATACAAAAAATGAAAACGAACACGAGCAGTGAAGCATGTATACTTGGGAGGTGGTGAGAGTGATGGAGGAATGATGTTTATGATCCTGCTATAAATATGTAGACTTTTAAAGATGAGAGTTATTTGGTAATGTTCATGTGGTGCTGTCGGTAGCAGTGAGTTGGTGGTATGAGCTGATTGAGGGAAGTAGCCTGTGTTTGAAGTAGAAGCACTTTACATTTCCAATTTGAGTTACATAATTATGTCACCAGTATGCTGGAGGAACTGTATAATTGGTCACCTGACTATCTTAAGTGAACTTTGATATAAACTAGTCATGTGACTTTATGATGTGGACAAACAGTAATTAGTTTGTTTACTCTAGAAGCATGGGTTCTTCCATAACTGATACATAGTTGCAAAATCCATGACCAGCACTGACATTTTTTATTTCCATACTTATTTGCTGTCAAATGCAAAGATTTTTTTTTTGTTATATTTGTTTTTCAATTGATGGATATGTTGGGTTCTCTATTGGAACATATGGGTGTGAAGACGTGTCATGCTGACATGGTAATTTGTTTGTTCATTCAGTGCATGATTGAGAAGGAGAACAACTTCAAACAGCCAGGAGAGAGATACCAATCCTGGTCACCGGACAGGTATTTATTTTACCTCATCTGCTTCTAGTATGGTTGAAATTTTTTGTAGTTCTATGATTTTTCCTTGGTTGGTCTTGTTATTTCTCTAGGCAAGAGCGATTCATCAACCGATGGGTTGAGGCTTTATCTGACCCACGGGTCAGCCATGAAATCAGCAGTATTTGGCTGGCAAACTGGTCTCAGGTCTGATTACTCTACCCTTTAATTGTGTCTTATATTACATTGTAAGACTTACTGATTCTTTATTGGTGGTACATATTTGCTCTGCAGGCTGATAGGTCCCTTGGTCAGAAGCTAGCATCCCGCCTTAATGTGAGGCCGAGCATGTGAAGTTGACACACCCCACTGGATGTTTTGAGTTGATGAGTCTGTGAGAGAGTGGTGTTTGGTAGTCAATTGTAATCTTTGGATTAGCATGTCATATTATATAATGCCAAACAAACCTGTATGTAGTGTGACTTTTTAAACCTGGCGATGCGGTGATCATACCCTGATCTTAATAAATTGCAGTTATATGTTGGAAGTCATGTTGCAAATTTTCTTAATTATATGTTGCCAGTTACAGACTTTGTCCTGATGTGCTCAATCTCAGTTTTGGTGAAGGCAGGCACCAGACCGGAGCTTGTTTAAGGCAGGTTGACACACAGGAACTTCGTTCAAATCCCTTTTTGGGGATTGTCTGTCCATTATTGCTTGTTAAATTACCCTATTGCTGGCTAATTTTTGTTCGCAACTCCTAGTGTTTCTTTCAATAACCAAGAATTAGATCCATTATGTGCCTTTTGAATTAGTGGAAATTACACGTAAATCATATTATTATATTTACTACTTCACACTGGTCTTGTATGGAATGATTGTGACAGTCGATTAAGTGACAACACTTAGATGGATCACACCAAAGCTCTTGCAACATCGGAAAGAGTTAGGAAGGGCTTGGAGTATTCACCGGAGTATCCTTTCCAATACTTAAGTCGGTCTGATACGAAAGTTACTGTACTATGTTTGTTTACAGTTGCATATCTGAGGCCCAAATCGTGGGTTACTTACACCTTTACCTTGAGGGGGGTATTGATGTGAATTCCTTATAATGATGTGCAAGCCAACAGAAATGACTTTTTGGGAGTGAATTTCTCTCATTGGTTCATATGTACAGTGGGCAGTCATTGCCAGTGGCTGCATAATCAAAAAAAAAAAAAATCTCATCTCGTTGTATATTGGTTTCAACCTCTGCGTTTACTAGCTTAAAAATAGCCTGCGAGAAGTCGGGATAAAGGTGGAATGATGACGTGTACACGGGTCATGCCTCTTTGTTAATATGAATGAGATTCTATGCTAATCCCCACGTGAAGACAATGATGTAACTGATATTCTCTGTCTTTTATCATATCAATTAATTCGATCCAATAATAACAAATGTAACAATACACTTGAATTCGATAGCATACTAAATTTCAAGGTTCTTGAGCTTGGTATGATTCCAATGCTTTACGCAGGCTATAGCCGTTCGAATGCGACGTGTAAGGGATATATTCAATCTTTAATTCACGGATTTGTCAGCAAATTCGCTGAATTATGTACCGTGAAGTGACATTTTATTTTTCAACTTTTTTGCGCATATTCTGCACAATAATTTCTTCGCCAACCGAAGTGACAGGATTGCTTTTATTGTCATGGGATAGTGATGGGGCGGAAAGGGCATTCAGAAATGTTAACTTGGTAGGGAAATTAATGCTAATACCTTCGAATGTAGGCGTGAGAATCTTAGACATAACTCGTGAAATCGACACGAATTTATTACGGATTTAATAAATTTGAGTATAGTTTTAACGGATTTGAGTAGTTAAAGGATTAACTCGGTAGACCCGTGAAGTAAATGAATCAATTTTGTGTTTAATTTATAAATTCGTTTCAACCCGTTTAATCTATTCTCTTATTCAACAGGTGACACATGAGTTGCATCGAATAATCCGTCTAATAAATAATTTGTGTATGGGTGTGATAGTTGAATTCATTTATATAAAAGAATGAGAATATAAATGAAGTATTTTTTGATGCAAATTCATTTTATCCGACATAAAATCGCGCCACTTGACACGATTGCCCGACGTATTCAAATGTGATATATCGTTGATTTAGTCCACTTATTGAAAAACAAAAAATATTTATTTAGTCTACTTCAACTTCAAATGAGAACGAGAAAGCAAAAATAAATCAGATTCTCCCTAACATTTTATATTAAAAAGGATAATTTATTAGACATTCGGACAAACTATAACTTATTATTTTAGTTTAACAATCGAAAGTAATCGAATTAATTTATGTACATTTCGATTAATTTATTTTTTTGATTTAATCAAAAATAAATTATTTATGCCAAAACATGACCTAACCTAAATATATTGTCAAAATTCAAATTTAAAATATTTAAATTTAGATTGTGTACTTATTATAGTATTATTATTATCCTCTTGGAATGCCCTTTGTTAAGGTCCAAGCAAGGCCGCCTAGGCGCCTTGCATGACTTGTGCACCGCCCACGCGCTCCTCTTTTTCAATTCACTAAGGTTTTTGGGACATAATTAAATAATATAATTTAAAAATATAATAAATTATCACTAATAAAATAATAGTGAAATGTATTTAATGATGAATCCCATTGTAACATTAATAAATTCATTATCATATTATTAGTGAGAATTTATTATGTCTTCAAATTATGTCCCAACAACAATATTTTTTTCCATTGTATCCTGGGTCTGATTTGGGCATTGTAGTCGGTATATTGACCATTGGATTCAAATTATAAGTTTGGGGTGATTTTAGAAAAATAGTTTACAAGTTATAATTCAAATTAATATTTTAAAAAGTTAATAATATTTTTAATTTTTAAAGTATATATTTTTTGTCAATTTACTCCTTAATATATCAATTTAGTCTTTAAAGTATTTAATTCGTGTTATTTTAGTTCTCGCATAAATTGATCATTAAGTTTTTAATATAATAATTACGTATTAGACAAGCAATACTGTTTAAAAAAATGATATGCGATCACTTATGTCCAAAAACTTAACGGCCGTTTATGTAGGGATCAAAATGACAATAATTAAATACTTTAGAGACAAAATTGATACATTTAAGAGTATATTGACAAAAAATACATATTTTAAGAATCAAAAATACTATTAACCATATTTTAAATCACTAAATACTTTTAAATAAATTAAAAGTTATTTTATCACTTAAATAAATGCATAAATAAGAAACATATTTTTGCACTTTATATTCAACACCACCCGTACTGCCATCACCATTATTATCATTGTCACAACTCTTACTAGGGACAGAGCCAAAAAAATTAGTATAGAGTTGGCACATTAAAAAGTTTTATTTTTATTTCAATTGACTGTAGAAATTCATAAATATACATATATTTGTTGAAATTATATTTAATACTTAAAAAATTATTAAATATAAAAGATTAAAAACTCATCTACATAGCATGTTCACAAAAAAATAAAAATACAAAATTAATTATAACTTGGTATTAAGAATGCGAGTAATTGTTATCATTTAGAATTGCCCTTGATAAATTTTTATTTTCTTGAAAGTGTTAGAAATCAATGTAATCAACAAATATATTTTTTCTATATATAAAATCATGGTAACAATATTTAAAAATTTACCTTGTAGATTCTTATATAATTACACTCATTTTTATACAATAATAAAATAATTTTATAATTTAAAAAAATTATAAAATAATTTTGATATGTTCAAAATTTATCCAAACATGTTTGATGGTGACTCCACTCCTGACTTTGGTTAATTCCATATCTATTATTGTAGTTGCCCCATCATCACCGTCACCATCACAAACATTAAAACGTTTTTTTTATCATCAAAACTTATTTTTGTTCATAATATATTTATTTAGATATTGTATTACGAGTATTCAAACAACCCTTGGCCAATACAATAAATAAAATATTTTTCCTAAATAGTTATTTTAAAAAAAAATTCTTGCAACAAATCAGCTTGTGGGCATCTCTTGTGATTTTGTATTCAAAAACCACGGTCACCCACGCCACCAGTGTGACTGCCCTCGTCATTTATGATTGTTACTATCACCATCTTTACTCAAAATGCACTATTACTATTATCATTGTCACCTATAATTATCGCCACCACCACGATCGTCATCGTCCCAACTATAATCACTGTCGCCCACCACAACTATCACCATTCATTTCTCTATTACAATCGGTGTTTAAATTTTTTTTCTCTCTTCTCTATGTTGTGATTTAATTTTGAGTATAAATATAAATATATTTATGATTGATAATTTTTTTTATTACTTTGTGTTTTCAAACAGAAGTAATAACTAATTTATTTATAATTAACCAAATATATTACGTGACTTGATGGGATAGGACGTTAATAATACATGGACTTGATTTCAAAAATAATTCGATACCTGGCCTTTAAAATTTATTACTTTAAATAATATTTTTATAATTTTTGTGAGTCATTTTATAACTAAAAAATTTATAACTTTTGTGGCTGATTTATCACTTTTAATTACTATTATGAATGTTTTTATTATATTTGTGGTAATTATTTTTACTATTTTTTAGAGTACAAAAAAATTATCATATTTGTGAGTGTTTTTATTATTGCTGTGACAATTATTTTTACTATTTTTTTCAAATAAAATTATCCAAAAATATGATAAAAATGATATAAATTTCGATAACAGATTCAAGTCAATAACACATATATTAAAAAAAAAATTTGTGCATTGGACAAGCATTGGCAGTCAATTCTTATCGCTCTCACCCAAGCATCGGTAGTCCGCCCACTCGAATTGAAGTTTAGCTCTTTTTTAATATCTATATTATATAATATAAAAGATGGATGGACATGACATGACGGAGATTTACGCCCGCGCGCGGTTTTGTATTGTGTGAGTCCGGAGTATTGTATTACGATTAGAGAGAGAGAGAGAGAGAGAGAGAGCATCTACGCAAAAATGGCCGACGCTCGACACATTTAACCATTTCAAAGCTATTTTTTTTTTCTCTTCATATTTTTGTTCTTCCTCTCTCTGTTTATTATTAAGAATTCAAATCTTAATCCAAAATCAATTAACAAGGGATCAATTGTTTCTCAATCTCCATATATCTCTATCTATATATGTATCTATCTCTGTTCTCTTCGTGTTTTCCCGTCTACAGTTGACTTCATCGCGGGTATCGCGAGGGGGTTGTGGTGGGTCCGTCCAAAGATTTCAAGGAGAATCTTCTCTATCAACACAAGAGGCTTTGAAGAGAATCCGTTAAGAGTTAAAGAAGGAAAGGCCTGATGATAACTACGAGAAAGGGGTGGGTTTCTTTGTTTATGGATAGGACAGTCCTTCAAAAGCCTTCGTGACTATCATCACTTGCTCATGTCCTTGCATCTTAAACCACCACCACAACAACTTTCGTAGTGGGTAATTACAGAGGAATAATATCCAAGAATCTTTTCAAAGTGAGTTGCTCTCATTCCTTTTCTGTTTAATTTTTATCTGGGTTTTGTTGTGTTTAATGTTGGGTCATAAACTTGTATTAGCTTTGGGTATGAGCAGTAACTCTTTTTCTCCTTCTCTCTCTCTCTCGCTTGTGGTAAAACCTAGAATCCTGAAGAGAAGAAAGTTGGGTAGGTTCTGGTTCTAACTATTTTCGGAGAATCTATGGAAAGTTTTTAACTTGTGTATATTTAATTTGGCTTCTTCGGACAATTGTAGTTGGATGTATTGGGGATATTTGAAAATGTGGTTGGTTCTTTAATTCTTCTTGTTGATCATTTATTCCACTTTGGTTGAAATCGAATTTTTGTATCAGACCCTTGCCTTTGAGATGTTTTGTGCCTTATGTCATAGTGAGCTCTAATAGGATGTTTGATTAGATTTTCTATAAATTTTCATTCAGGATGCTTGTGAAATTGGGACATTAGACTTTTACAGCTGAAAATTTGAGACTGGATTTTGTTTGGTAAGCTGAAAGTTCTGGAATTCAAATCGAATAGGATATAGATGTTGGGGTTTTGAAGAAGAAAAGTTATGGATGATGGTGTCTTCTTCCCTCCAAATACCATGTCAGGCACTCCACCCGATTCCTTTATGGATTTGGATTACATGGATGAACTCTTGCTAGACGGATGTTGGCTGGAGACAACTGATGGATCTGATTTTTTGCTCCACAGTACCTCTAACTCTGGTGCTCTCTTTGACCCTTCATTTACATGGCCTACTCTCCAAACGAACAATGACACTTTGAGTGGGAGCCCACCACAAAAGGACAGTCAAGAAGATAGGCAAAGGTCATCTTTGCTTGAGAATCTATCCATTAGTCAGCCCCAAGGACAGAATCCTGCTAAAAGTCAGGCACTTGGTGACAATATGATTAATGTGGGGTGCTCAAGTGAATTTGAGAACTATTCTGTTGAAGGTTCTGAAGTCAGTAGAAGATGGTGGATTGGACCAAGAGCCAATCATTTTCCAGCCTTATCTGTAACGGAAAGATTAATTCAAGCTCTTGGGTACATTAAAAATTGCACTCGAGATGAGAATATTCTGATTCAAATATGGATACCAGTAAATAAAGGTGGCAGATGTGTTCTAACCACGAGCGATCAACCTTTCTCACTTGATCGTAACTGCCCAAGACTTTCAAGTTACAGAGACATCTCTGTGAGCTATCAGTTCGCTACCGAGGAGGATTCCAAGGAGAGTATGGGCTTGCCTGGCCGGGCTTTCATGTGTAAGGTTCCTGAGTGGACTCCTGATGTTCGATTCTTTAGAAGGGAAGAGTTCCCACGGGTTGGTCATGCTAAGCAATATGATGTCCGTGGAACTATTGCTGTTCCAGTTTTTGAACAAGGTAGTCAAAGTTGCTTGGGTGTTATTGAAGTTGTGATGACTACTCAAAAGATCAACTACCGTCCAGAGCTTGAAAGTGTTTGCCAAGCTCTTAAGGTCTGTTTCCTTTGCGCTTTTTTTTTCCCACACTGTTCCTCATATCAACTTCTTTCTTTAGTTCGGAAACTTCAATTGGTAAGAATTTGGGACTAAAGTTGATTTTGACACCAGCACAGCTGCACAACGAGAAAAAACAATCTATGTGTCATACTTGGTATTCTAAACTGGATGTGTAACAGAATATTGTGGTCTAAAGTTGATCATAATATGGAATAGGTTACAATATTCCTTTCGAACTAAAATAGGGGTCAGTTTGTCTCAAGATTGTAACATATTGAATATTAAGATTCTAGATTTATGTTCGATGTTCTTTGTTTCAAGTCAAACATACTACAGTTACTGAAGACATCACATTCTAAAAAAAATTGGTTGTTTTCCAGAAACATATTTTGGAGCATTTATCTGAAAAAGAAATTAAAGAGGCCTGCAGTTCCAAGATTTTTGTATTAAGAATCAACTCTATACCACCACAGAGAGTGAATAGGTTCAATGCAATGGGAAGCACACAACCAGCTTATGAAGTTTAGATTAGGTTGTGTTTTAGTTTCGTGTTGTTTTTTTTCCTTACGATTCTTTTTTATTGAATTTTATTGTTCCCATTGCAGCCCATATCCATCCCCATCGGAACTGCCGCCAAGAGAGCTTGAGCATTAATCCATGTAAAGTAATTTATGATTTGACATCCATCCACCATTAGTGTGGTATGACATACCCATGCCCTCCCTCAAGTTCTAGGGATTGTCTTGATGCAACCCTGAAATAATTTCTACAATATAATATTGAGAGAATTAAGAGTAATAAGTAATTCAGCCTCATTTTGTGGATAATATTATTGGTTTTAGACAACAAAATACAACTATGCACATTCGTCTGTACCGCAGGGGGGGAGAGAGTGAGAGAGAGAGAGATCTGTGGATCTGGCTTCTCAGGTCCAAATAAACCTTTTTAATTACTTGCAAAACATCCTAGTAATGACAACTCTCATTTCTCCAGACTTTCTGCTCTTAACAAGCTTTTTTGCTTACAGGCTGTTGATCTCCGTGGTTCTGAAGTTTCAAGTGCTCAGAATGTTAAGGTAATTGTATATCTCTGTGAAATATAACTAATCTGTAGAAAGGGTCTGAAACCTTATGTTTTCCACATTTTTTTTCACTAGGCGTGTGATGGCTCTTATCAAGCTGTGTTGCCTGAAATTCTGGAGGTTCTGAGATCTGCATGTGGGACACATAGATTGCCGTTAGCTCAAACATGGGTCCCATGTGTCCAACAAGCTAAAGAGGGGTGCAGGCACTCTGATGAGAATTTTGTTCATTGTGTTTCCACTGTGGATTCTGCTTACATAGCTGATCCCTCTATTCAGGGTTTTCATGAAGCCTGCTCTGAACACCACTTGTTGAAAGGTCAAGGGGTTGTGGGAAGAGCGTTCACAACTAATCAACCATCTTTTTCACCTGATGTAACCTCTTATAGCAAGACAGAGTATCCTCTTTCGCACCATGCAAGGATGTTCGGACTGCGTGCTGCTGTTGCCATACGGCTGCGAAGCATTTACACTGGTACAACTGACTTTGTTTTGGAGTTCTTTTTACCTGTGGATTGCGTGGATCCTGAAGAACAAAAGGCAATGCTCAATTCATTGTCCATCATTATACAAAAGGTCTGTTGGAGCTTACGGGTGATTACGAACAAAGAGTTGCAGGAAAATACTTTTCTGCCTGTTGGTGCACTTAAATTCCCTTCATATGTGAAGCTTGGAAGAGAAATGCCAGAAGTGGAATGTACTCAGTCCGCAAGGCACTTCCATGAAGTATCATCCTGCATTGGCAGAAAGACGGAGGCCAAAGAGGGTGATAATTTACCATTAGTCCAGGAACCAAGGCAACAGTTGAGAGAAAAAGCGTTGGACTTTATGAAACAGCAACATGATTCTGACTCCAGAGCAACTTTGACCAATGCTGAAGATAATTCTACTTCTGGCGAGGATAGCTTCTTAAATGTAGGTAATACAGGAGAGAAAAGAGTCAAAAGACATACCAAGGCAGAGAAAAGTATCACCTTGCAGATGCTTCGGCACTATTTTGCTGGTAGCCTAAAAGATGCTGCAAAGAGTATTGGCGGTAAGTCCTTCGTACACCTTTTTTGTATGTATCTCTTCTTTTATCCAAGGATACATTAGTCATTCTTTCAAGTTTTATATATACACACCCACCTATGCAATTACACAGCCCTACAAAAGGGAGTTTACCAATTCTTCCAAAGGGTATCAAAGCCTCTAGGTTATTGTCTCCTCTTTTTTTTTCTTTATTCTTTCTTCTTCACTGCTGCCACATTCTTAAACATAAATCATCCTAATGTTTTTATCAGGCTCGACTTCAAGTTCCTTCTTCTCCATAAACCACACTTCTAAGCCCCTATTTCACGATGAAGTCAATGCCCGTGTTCTGTACCTGAAAATGGATTTCTATAATGAACCTGTTGATAAATATATGACTCTACCTTCAACACCTCAAGTCGTTGGTTAGTTCTATCGCTTGAGTTGGTAATTCAATCTTATCCGTGCTTCCCGGAAGTGCGATAGTTGCTATCTCTACTCGCCTTCCTTTTCCATAATTTGCTGAGGCTTGTTCTCTGATTCTCTTTCATGAAGCTGGTCTTTTTAATATCTGAAGACTCATGCTCCCTCAAACCCATTTACATGTTTCGTAGCTAATTGTGGCTCATCAAATTCTTGCTTAAGTCGTGGTAGCTCTAATACATTGCCAATTCTCATTATGACCCATGTTTCGACAATCACAATGAAAATTCCTCATTGGTCCATCAAGTTTTTCGTCATGACTTTCAGTCCTCCAATTGGCATCAATCTTTTCCTCCATTTGGCAGTCCTACTCGTCATGAGGCCGTTGACCATCTATTCTAGCCCCCCTGCTACAGGCACTGAAAGAATCATGGACCTGTGTAATGCCAGTTCCCATTTGACTTTATTACACTGCTTGTGAGTTCCCTCACAATCTGAAAGCATTTGTTACTCATAATAATTTGAGTTATCTGTATCTTTCTCACACAAGATTCCTATGATCGGAACTGATATTTTGATATTGGTTCTTCATCTCATATGACCCCTTCAGCAGGTAATCTCCTGTCTCATTCTTCCTACACTAATTCTTATCACTTCCAGGTTACCAATGTTGCTCTTTTTCCCATTTCTCACATCGGTCACTCTCACCCTATATCTCCCTCTTTTAACTTTCATTTCTGTAATGTTCTTGTTGCACCGGATCTCCAAATTACTTATCGTTCATAAATTTTTTCAGCTAAACACTGTAGTCTCGAATTCGATCCTTTTGATTTGTTCTGTTAAGGAACTTCAAATGAAGAAGAATTGTCTCAGCTGCAATAGTTTTGGTGGACTCTATGCTATACCTCCATCTGCACATGGTGGTTGTAGTTTGCTCTCACAGCCTCTTCAGTTTCTTCTCAGTTATGGCATCAACACTCAATCACCTGAGCAATTGTTTTATTTATTTATAAACTGATATGACCATCTCGTTCTTGAATTGGTATGGCTCCCTGTCATGCATGTCAATTAGGCAAGCATGTTAGACATCACTTTCCTAATTCCCATGGTCATTCTGTTCGAGTTAGCATGGGAGAAATGTGTATATTGTGTGTGTGTGTGTGTGTATATGTATGTATGTTTGCATTTATATTTTTATATCATTATCTATTAGTTTCACTTCTAAATTTTTTTACTTTTTTCTATATATTGTAACCTTTGTTCTTTTGTTGGTTCTTAGTTTGTCCCACTACTTTGAAAAGGATATGTAGGCAACATGGAATAAAACGCTGGCCTTCTCGAAAGATCAAGAAGGTTGGCCACTCCTTACAAAAAATCCAACTTGTGATGGACTCAGTCCAAGGTGCCTCTGGTGCTTTTCACATCGACTCTTTCTATTCAAACTTCCCAGAATTGGCATCTACAAATTTAACGGGAATCAGCCCATTTTCAGCTTTAAAGACTGATGATGATTCAAAGTCCTTCAACAGGAAGCTTGAGGGTGTCAATCTCAAACCCCAGGCTGCTGCATCTAAATCACTCTCTCCTTCCTGCAGTCAAAGCTCCTGTTCTAGCCAATCTTGTTCCAGTGGGACACAGCTGCATCCTCAAGCATCGCATGTTGCAGGTCATGAAGATCCAATTGTCAGGGAAAATTCCAGTGATAGTGTACTTGAAAGGGCTGGAAGTGATGCAGAGCTGCACATGTCAAGTGATGAAGTACCAAAGCTCCTGCCAAGATCCCATAGCCATAAATCTCTTAGTGACCACCCTAAATCAGAGTGCCCTCTGCCCATTGCAAAGAATACAGGTGGAAACTCCCAAAGAGGCATTCAGAGATTTAAAGTTACATATGGGGAAGAGAAAATCCGGTTCCGCATGCAGAATAATTGGGGATACAAAGACTTATTGCAAGAGATTGCCAGAAGGTTCAGGATTGGTGACACCAAAGTGTTTCAGCTCAAGTACTTGGATGATGACTCTGAGTGGGTATTGTTGACATGTGATGCTGATTTGGAGGAGTGTATCGATGTATGCCAATCGTTAAGGAGCCAAATAATTAAGCTCGCTCTCTGTTCAGATTCACAGAAAAATTTGAGAAGCTATATGGGTAGCAGCAGCCCCTTGTGATTATCGTAGAAATGAGTACTATCAATGAGGTTGCAGTTTGATGCTGTTTAAAAATTTGCGTCAATATTTTGGACGAGCTCAAGTCCAAATAACTCGTTGGGGTATATGTTGCCTGCAATTTCAGATACATGAAACGCCCTTTTCAACGTAATAAGTGGTATCTGTAGGCTGGGATCACCATGAAAGTTGTAAAAGACTTTCTCCTAGGACGTCCTGAAATTCAACTTGGGCTTGGCAAAAGTATTCCGTGCGTAGAACTAGTCATTTTATTGCCTATGCAGCTGGAAATACCGAAGCTACCGTGTTTTCATACTGTTTTAAGATGCCATGTTAAAGGAATGCACGCGTTGGAGGCTGGAAGATTTTTACGGAATACGTGAAATGCGAAAGACAGATTTCTGGGCAGATCTTTGATAAAATAATTTGAATATGTACTGACATTGAATCTCATATGAGAGAGAGTCTATGCAATGGCCAGGGAATAAATGAAAAACCCTTCACACCACCAAGCATATGCGAGCGGTGTGGTGCGGTGCAAATATGGATTGTGAATTTGTACATTTGCAATACTGATTAGTGCTCGAGCTTGAGGGGAATTTAGCTCAGCTGAATATGTTTTGCAAAACTGATGTAGTGTACCTTTGTGGATCCATTGACAACTTCTTTTAATTTTCAGTTGGCTCAAGTAGATGTTAAACTACTTTCATTATTCAGAGTTCGAAATGCAAGTAAAATTTTTTTCTTGTGGCCCTTTTGCAGATGATTAATGGTTGCAAATTGAAACAATTTATTAGCCAATAGCCATGCTTTTAGGTCCTTGCCCAGTAAGACAAGAGTTGTTTAGTTCTTTTGGTAGGCTTGTACAAGTACAATACACTCAAGTCAACTCTCCAAAAGAAGCCACTGGCTCGATGTAAGAACTTGCGAGACCCATGTCTACCAGGGAGGCTTAGCCAAGGGTGCGTGTTGATGGGGTGAAGCTCCAGTTGCAATGACGCTGCCGCCATGCCTGCTGTGAAGTGGAGACTTATACTGATTATAATGACGATAATTCGGGGAGTGTTGTTCTTGGTGTTGGGCCGTAGGACGCTTGTTTCTGCATTTGGAGGCCTTGGGTTTCATCTTGATGGCGTTAATCTGTTCTAAATTCTCCAAGATTTCTTCCATGGAGGGGCGATTTTTGGGGTCAGATTCAAGACATCTGAGTATAAGTGCAGCTGCTTGGAATGCACCTTTAGAAGGATACTGGTGATCCAGATGTGGGTCCATTATTCTCTTCAGCTTTCTCTTATCGGGCAGGAAAGGCTTGGCCCAATCCACCAAGTTGTGCTCTCCACTGGGCCGATTCAAATCAAGCACCCGACGGCCCGTTAACAGCTCGAGCAACACCACCCCAAAGCCATATACATCGCTTCTAACATACAAATGACCTAGCCAACATTCAAAGTGGTTAATTATTCTCTTCCAGTGTATTTTCATATATACTATTTAATATTATAATTAGAAAATTGAATTCATAATTTATAAAGTATAACAACGATTAAGATTAATTCGATTTTTATCTACTTTATTCTGATAGTACAAAATTCATCCCCAAATTTGTTTTTCTATTTAAAAATATTATCTTCTCAATACGACTCAACTCAATCAACACACTCTTTAATACCAAATAACCCCATTAATCAACACCTATATCTCTCATCTACTTTTGTCTTATTTTTTATCTGTTCACTTTAATTTTAAATTATATAAATAAAAAATAAAAGTAAAAATTGATTGTCATTAAAAATATAAATATTATACGATTAATGTTTAATTTTTTGTATTATAGAGGGTCTCAAACACGGGATTATTACTAGTCTATCTAATATTATAGTTAGGAAGTTGAATTCTCAATTTGTAAAAACCCAACACCAGTCAAAGTTGATTCAATTTTCATCTATTTTTATCCAATAATATAAAATTCATTCAAAAAAATTATTTTTCCACTCAAAAATATCATTTCCATTGTATGACCTCAATGCCAATCACCCCGCCAAATCACACCTATACCTCTCTCCCCCTACCTCTTTCTTATATTATTTTTATTCACTTAATTTTAAATTTGATATTATGAAGTGGTTTTAGAGTTATTGTTAGTACATATATATGAAACAAGATATAAGTAATTACCGGTGGCCACATACTCTGGAGCTGCATAACCATAAGTTCCCACAATTTGTGTAGTGACATGCGAGTGACCATTTACTGGACCTAACTTAGCCAGCCCAAAATCTGAAAGCTTTGCATTAAACTCCTGGAGAAAAATATTCACATTACTGGCCAAAAACTCCACATGGCTGCCTTCAGAAATAATATTAACTATTAACGACAACAGTTAATTAATTAAATAGCTTCATATATATATATATATATATATACCCCATCTAGCAATATGTTGGAGGCCTTGAAGTCGCGGTATATGACTTTTTTCTCCGTTGTATGCAAGAAAGAAAGGCCTCGAGCTACTCCTATGGCTATTCTAAGCCGAATATCCCATGAGAGTGGTTTTGCACCAGCTGCAAGTAACAAGAGATTTCTCACATAACAAGAAATTTGACATTTCATTTCTTTTTTCACCGAAGTACCTAAAAAGGTTGTGATTTCAAAGAAAATAGAAATAAATACCTATTTTTTTAGAATATTTCCATCAATTTTTCAACTAGTTTCTCTATTTCTTCTGACACTTTTTTTTTTGTTTATAAGATGAAAAAAATTATATATTAAAGCAAAATTTGGATCCTTGAATATGACTTATTATTAGGATTAATGTTAATGCTTACTACTGAAGAGGTGGGTCTCTAAGCTTCCCTTCTGCATATACTCATAGACAAGGAGAAATTCTTCCTCTTCCCAACAGTACCCCAATAGCTTAACCAGATTGGGATGACTGAATTTTCCCAAGAATTTGACCTCCGCCTGCACCCGCAAAAAATTGATAAGATCCCCAACTTTGATGTAATTCTCCTCTAAAAATGACAAAGTTTCAAAATAATAATAGTAAGAAAACCCAAAGAAGGAAGAGAAGAAAATTGATTCTCCCTGACTCAACCACCTAAGTATTTATATTTAGTTATAATTATTATTATATAATTTTGTGAAGATGAATAGACTAGATATTTGTTGGCACTTACTTGCCACTCTTTTAGGCCTTGGGAGCTATCTGGATGGGATTTCTTGACAGCAACGGGCATTCCAACTCCAACCATGGAAGGTGCATATGTTTTCTCGTCGACCCAACCTCTGAAAACCTTTCCAAACCCTCCCTCACCCAGCATCGAATCAGGTCTAAAGTTTTTTGTGGCTCTTTTTAGCTCTGCATAACTAAACATTTTCAAGTTTGGGGTTATAATTTGCCCACTTATTGTAGTTGTTATTGTACCCAAACCCACTTCATTATCATCAACAACACCTCCTGCTTCTCTAGTATACGCCGACGAGCTTTTCCGATAACTCTTGCTGCTGCTGCTGCTGCTGTTTTTTAATGTCTTTGCATCACTATGGACTGAAAGAAAGGGAAGAAGAAAACCAATAATTTTATTGGTGAGTTATTAATCTGAAGCTCAATTAACAAACAATGTATAATTATGTTCCAAATCATCAAACAAACTTTATGCATATATATTGGTTTGAATTAGGAGATATATATACATACTTGGGCTGGAAGGTTTCGTGGTGCTCGGGAGATTATCCACAGGCTTTGCCCAGCAGTTCCCCATCCTCTCCCTCCCCCCTCTCTCTCTCTCTCTCGTTAATCTCTCCACTATCTATCTACTTATCGTTTTGGAACATCTGAAGTTTCTGTGTCTGTTCAGTTTCCGCGAAGGAGAGAAGAAGGAGCGCAAGAAAGAGGGACGATGAACACAAGAAAAGAAAACTAAGACGTATGTCGGTATGTGTATGTATACAGAGACGGGAGGGAGAAACTGAGATGGGTTTGTCTCCTATGGATGAGTCAGTATTTCTCCCTTAACTACTTATGAATTGGTATTTCTTTTTTTTTTTTTTGAACAGGTATGAAGTGGTATTTCAAAAACGCGCTTTCAGTGTAAAAAAAAAAAACTAGAAATTATTTTGTAAAAGGGAGCAATCGCTACATCCCCTTAAAGGATTTCGGCTGGCCTGCGCTTGTTCGACAGTAGCTTTTACCTCTCAGTGCCCACAGGAGTTTTGTCTCAGATTGACTGAGAGTCGTCTCCCCCACCCCTTATAAGCCTGAGTCTCTTTAGGGATGGATATTACCTTTTTGTAAATGATAGAAATCGCCACGAGATTTTAGTCTTTCACTCGAAAGATTCTGACTTACTTCTCAGTGCCCGCAGAAGCTTTATACCACATCGACTGAGAGTCGTTTTCCCCACCCCTTATAAGCATGAACCCCTTTAGGGATGGGTACCCACTAGCGGGGGTAGGGGAGACGACTCTCAATCGATCTAGCTTACCTCTCAGTGCCCGCAGGAGCTTCGTTCCATATCGACTGAGAGTCGTCTCCCTCACCCCCTTATAAGCCTGAGCCCCTTTAGGGATGAGTACCCACTAACGGGGGTGGGAGAGACGACTCTCAATTGATGTGAGACGAAACTCCTGTGGACACTGAGAGGTAAAGGCTACTGCCGAACGCTCGCAGACTACCTGGAATCCTTTGAGTGGAGGGCTGAAATCCCGTAGCGATTTCTACCCCTTCATATTTCTAAAACATGACTTTCATATAAAAAGTGTATTTTACTTCCATATTCTCTCCCCTATGAAATTCTTCATCGGTTAGGCCCAATGGTGGTACCTTGTTATTTGCTAATGTTGTATATATTCTGTTTTTTTTTTTCCCAAGGTTTTTCAATGTCACTTTCTTCATTTAGCTTCTTCAAAGATGTCATCAGTGGTAGCATTATAGTATAATCATGTACATTGTGAAACTTTGAAACTTAGAGCTAACCACCTCTTTTATTTGTGCTTCCTGCTAATCTTTTTGAATTTTCTGCCCAATATTTCTAGGATTTAATACGTTATCTGTTGTCAAAGAAGATTATTATCCATTAGATCCTCTCAGAGCAGAACAATAATGAGTAATTCCCACGAAGCCTTCTGTTGCACCACTGAGGCATCGTTTGTTTACCAGGCGAATGGTAGTTAACGTAAGAAAGAGAAATTTTTTAAAATTTTCATGTGTTTGGTTAGAATGAAAAGGAAAATGATAGAAAAAATATTTTTTTTTCATGTTTAAATTTTCTCACAAATAAACAATTTTTTTTTTCTTGTAAAACACACAAGGAAATGCAAGAAAATTGTGATCTATAAGTAACTTTTCATTTTACCTTTATTTTTCTTAAAATATTTTATTAGTTATTAATTTAAAAAATTTTGGTAAAAATTTGATTAATCATAATTTTTCGTCCTTCGATTACAGAGAGCGAAAACATAAGTAAATCCTTCCCTTTTCATTCTAAAGGTCGAGTAGGGATGGTGTTGTGTCAAATTTTATTCAACACATTCAATCTAAATTTTGTTGTATTGCATTGAGTTTATACGGTGTGTAAATCATATTTATCCAAATTTGTTTTGACCCTTTTAGTTAACAGCACTATTCAAACTCGACCCATCAAATTTAGAATTTTGAAGCCTAAATTTTGATACTGGGCCCCGGATACGAATTATTGTTGTAACAATAATAGAGGCATAGACAGGTCACTTGGACAGTTTTTTATACGCAATAACATGATTACTTTTGAAAATGTGAGGGGGCCGGCCAATACCATATGACCGACCAATGTTGGGTTTTCACACAAGGGCATGTTAGGTATTAGCTATTGGCCCGGTCAATGCGATGATAATCCCTTAAATTTCTTTCCCAATTAAAATAAAGACAATAATAATAATCACTGTATATGACTCAGTCGTCTATGCTTCCTTTCACATTTTAAAAACAAAAAAAAGTCAGTCTAATGCTATGTATCAAGTTCTGTGGTGTGGTGGTGTGGAATTGTACCAGGATAGATAGATATAAGTGACAATTGGGGGACATCAGCCCCCCAAAAGTCAAGAAATTCAATGTATTATATCATTACTTCTTTTGAATATACACTAATTATCTATACTCACACCTTAATTTTAAAAATAACATGTTTGAAGACCGCTTATTAAACTTAATTCTTGAATTTGACTTATATGTCAAAATTTTATTGTCCGTTTGATAGAGTGGATGAAAAATGAAAGGAGTGATATATTTTCATGGGAGAAATCCTTCATTTGCTCTTTCGTGTTTGGTAAGAGGGTCAAAAGTAGAAATGATTGATTTTTTTTGTGTTTAATAAGATGGAAAAAAAATATAAATACATATTTTATAATATGATATATATATAATATCAAAAGATATGTAGACAAATAATATACATTTCAATAAATACAATAAATTTTCATCCAATTCTGGTGAGTTATTCATTCACTTTTCTACTCTTTTTCTATTTTTTTTCTTACCAAATATAATATTTTATTTATCCTTTTAATTTTTTATCCTCTTAACTTTTCATCTTTTTATTTTTTTTGTTTCGTATCAAATGAAACATTAGTATCACCTCTATGAAGACAGTGGAACACCATGGAAAAAAAAAAACAGAAAAAAGAAGTGAAGTCCAATTTCTAAAAGAGCAAAATAAAACTTTTGGCGAAGGGAGAAACATAAGGTGGTCAAAACGTGTAGGTGTAGATTGGGGGCGGATGGAAAGGCAAAATGACATCCAAGCAATGACATAATCATCCCAAGCTGCATAGGATGAGAAAATATACAATTTCAGGTTTCTCTCTCTTGGACTCAAGATAACAAATAATTACAAACAAAAGTGGCATCTGGTCAGTACTTACATATTGTGCAGTCAGACTGAGACAATTGAAGTAAACATAACCAAGAGCCATTGAGGTGGCACCATCACCATGGATAATTGTGTCTCATCATATACCATAAGTACTATAGACCCATGAAAATGTTGTGGTTTGATGCACATAGAGAACAGTATCCTTGAGGTCTTACCCCACGGGAATTAGAGTTTGGTAATTGGTTCCCGACAAAAAAAAAAAAAAAAAGGAAACTTACAACAGATTATTGGAATTTGCAATTAACAATACTGAAGATTTCTCACAAAAAAAATAAAAAATAAAGAAGCTTAAGAATTTTGACTAAAGAATTGATGAAAGAGGAAAAAGGAAAATCATTATCTAAACCTTAGAGCCGGTCTTTCTTGTATAATGAACTACTATCATTGATAGTTATTGTCGGTTGCATACAAGTTTTTAACCTGTGCATTATAGATAAATGCAATAATACTATTATTGCTATCACTCGAACTCGACCATGACGGCATCGACTAAAGCCTCTTGTTATTTTATTTTGGGAGCAAAAGCGAAAAAGAGAGAAAAATTTTAATTTTTAATTTTAAGAAGACAAAATTTTTACAAGATAAGAAGTATCATTGAACAATAGGTTCATTAATAATTACTTATAAACTCTAGGAAAGTCGTATAAACTTTTTACATTGTAAGATATATTATTTTTTCAAAATTACTTGTATTTGTCGAACACGGAAAACACATTAGGCAAGCAAGACTATCGAGTAGTGCCAAAGAACCATTGACTTTTAAAATGCATTGAACTGGTATTGGCCGGCCGTGAGTCATGGGTAGGGTCAAGGCACATCCACGATGCCTTTACTTGTATTTGATTGTAATTTTTCTCCAAGCGGCTTAGTCAACAAAATGTTTAGATCCATATAATTGTTGGAAATAATGATATATTTATTTTTTTTAAAAAAATTATTAAATAGTGAATGATAAATTATTAAAGTTTTTGTAATTTTTGGGAGCAATTGAAAAGACTGTAAAAATTTTTGTGACTTTTAACAGAAATAAAAAAGTTGTGAAATGAATATAACATAAAAGACTACTAATTTAAAATCGATGACTTTTGATTAAAAACACTAATTCAAATAATTACACCTTTTTATAAAATCGTCATTAATATCTTTTTGACTCAAAGATACCATTTCAAATGGTTGTACCTTTTCATAAAGTTACCATCGATACTCTTTGGATTAAGAGGTACCATTACATATAGTTACACCTTTTATAAAAAGTCACTAGAAAGTTTATAAATAAATGATTCCTTACATTCTCAAAATATACCATTAAACAATTCAAGAATTATTCTCTCATTCCAGTTATCTTAATTATCAAAAATACTGAATTAAGTATTCAATTTTTCTTCTCTCTCTCTGCATATTGTTATATTATTATTTTAAGTTCGGTCCAACTATAAACACAAAATTGTGTTCATTGGAGTCTTGGAGATTGAAGTGTTGTATCTTCAAGAACGAAATTTGTTCTAACGTAGCAGACAGTTGCTTATCAACCTTAAGTCCTGAGAGGGAGCAAATCTGTCTTAAGAAAACTGTGATTATACCTGGTTCGAATTATTGTTTTTATTTCTGAATTTCTAATTTTCTAAATTTTACTATTTATATTGTTCTGCATCAATGTAAGTGCACTGATTTTGATTTCTATACATTTTATTTAAATTAATACATAATTTAGATTTTATACAATTTAATATAATTTAATTATATACATATTTTCTATAATAATATTTATATATAAACACGTAAAGAAATGTACTGCACTTTTGAAATGCTTTAGAGGCATGATTCACAAGCAGCCATGAAAAAATAAAAAAATTAAAAAAAAAAGTGGAAAAAGGGCCAAAAAAGAAGAGAGAGCAAAATGACTGATTGGGGTCCCCCGGACATAGACTAGACTTAATTCAATGTATACCCCAATTCAAAAGCCAATGGAAGTCCACCATGTGGTTGTTTATGACAACTCGTGTTCCAATCTCTTAGACTTATGATTAATTATTATATAAATCATAAAATTAGTTCAATAATAGTCAAAATGGAATACAATATTTTTTTACAAATCTCAAGTATTGTTTATAAGTAATTGTATAATAAATTTCTTATGAATTT